ACGAAAATCAACAATAGCAACAAGAAAAATTAATGAATTTGTTAGAATAATTATCATCCATCGTATTTCTTTTATCGGCAAATCCAAGCTACCTAAGCTACTCCCGACCCTATGTAAACAATCATCTCTTAGTATTTAGGAAATGGATTTATTCTCGTCCAACATTACTCAGTAAGTTCGATGTTGGTTTTTTGTAACGACCCATCCATATTATAATCGCTTTAAGAAGCGACTTTTAAGATCCACTGTATGTGTTGAGTTGACGTTTGTTTTTATTATTTCATTATTTTGCAGACTGACAGGTGACGAATCAAACAAGCAAGTCTACGATTCAAAAGGAAGATGATTTACTTAGTGGCACCAGACAGATTTAGCGCATCTCACTCAAGAGAGAGCTACCACTGATTTTGCCAAAATTGCTGATAGTTGATTAACTTTGGTGTTGGACTGTAAAAAAAAATTTAAATAAAAAGGGCTGTTTAAATGTTTTGAATTTTCCCGCCAAAAGACTTAGAAAAAATACGATGCGCTAAAATACGCATGCGCCGGTTTTTTTTTTTTTTTTAAGATATAATTTATATTTTTAAATAAACTTGACATTTAAAGACTTGAAAAACAAGTCAATAAAAATGATGCGATCAGTTTTTTTTTGTCTTCATTATATTGTTAAATAAACTTTAATTTTATGATAAACAAGTTTAGTAAATCACATTTTATTATTTACAAGTTAATTGAATAAGTAATTTTCAATTGAATTAATCAAAAAGGTGTCCAAGACAATTTTTCGTACATATACTAAGACTTTTGGCGGGAAAATTTGGGTCAATTTGCACAGCGTTTCCCCTGGCAACAATCTCGGCAAAAATTTAAACAGGTTTCGTTTCAAATTTCCCGCCAAAACTTATTTAAACAATATCTCTCCCGCATAAAATTTTACATTGAAATACAGTTTTCCGCACGAAATGATGTTAAATACAGAAAAGCACCTTGGCAAGGTATCGGTAACTCATTCAGAATTTATCGCCGAAATTAAATTGTTTTCAATAATTGTATTTTCAATTTACCGAAATACTTTTCTTCAAAACCCGAACACTTGCCATGATGCTTTTTTTTTCTAGATAAAATATCTTTAAAGCAGCCAAACTTCGTATGTAACACAGGAAAAAGATTGGACGCAATGAAAAAGTTATCCTATGTTTTGATCTGAAATTCTTGAACCATTTACAGGCAGCGAAAAGAATTCTCGATTTTAGGAAAAAATTGCTTTATTTTGTTTTTTAAGTCGCAAGAGCCAAAATATATACACCTCGCGTTCTATGCTCAATCAAGTCCTTGAAATAAGACCTTATCTGAATTTAAAAACTTTCTTAAAAAGCCAACTTGAGAAATATTGCAAATCAATGGAGTTAATTGTTTTAGCTGGAAGAGCTAAGAAATTTCACAATGCATTAAGTGAAAAATAGCAGATAATTTACAGAATTCCCGGGGCAAATTGTTTAACTTGAAAGCTTGTTTTGCCACAAAAGCAATTAGACTGATTGATTTAACTTCAGTTTTCACCAGTTGATGAAAAAAAAATTATATTTGTGTAATAGCGTGAGAAATTTGAAATCAAAACCAATAAATTTTGTGACTTGTAGGGATTCCTGTGTTACTCCGACATGGCAGCACTAAAGATCCTCCTTCTTCTAGTCTAAGAGTACTGTAAACTAAGTTACATTGTTAACCCAAATACCTGGTCTACAGAATGACTTAGGATTGGTTATGTCGAGTCCAACTGATTCGAAAATTTTGGCTAATAACACGAAGGTTCAAATTTAGGAAAGTGTCGCATAAACCAGCAAGGAGATAATCGATGCAAAGTCATAATTTAGACTTGCCGAGCTTTAACAAGAGAAGAAAAAACTCGTATGAATCTAAGAGGTAATTTGCACTTATGACTCGACCCTTTGACAAAATCATTGTGGTTTGGTCGAAGAAAATTTAGAATCACCAAGAGCAGTGATGGTAATCAAACGTTTCGTCATAAATAAGTAAATTTCTTGCCAAAATTGTTAAGAAAAAGATCTTGTTTTTATGGTACCTACGAGTACAAATTTAGTACATTTGTCTGGATCCGAAAAAATGTCCTCAGGAAGTAAAAATCGATATTTCTTTGGGCCAAAGTGACAACGATTACCTTTGGTCAGTGGTGTCTATTAACAAATAAGCCTGCATGTTAAAATCGCTCTTTTTCCAATCTAAAAGCTATTAGGAACAATTAAGGTAACACCACGAAAAAATTTGATTACTTGAGATCAAAAAAATATTTCTTCATCCGAAACGAAAAACGTAATTTTAAAGTTGGTTTATGCAACGACAAGTCTCGAAGAAATCGAATTTTGTTTAAAATCACATGTAACCAGGCATTTGAGTTTTAATGATAAAACCTTAGTGACAAGAGAACACTGGTGCATACGAAACAACAACAAAAGAAACTATCCAGACCTTATTGCAGGGTACAGTTCTTCGTTTGGGATCCTGTCGCAAATTTACAGCCAATGTTCTCTTGATTCCAACTTAGTTAATGCAACAAAACAGGAAATACAGGTATTAAGATGGCACTTAACTGGATTCGGTTTCAAAATTGACCGAAAAGCAGCCACTTTTTTTAATAAACTTGATTCGTAATTGAAAAAATTCCAGGTATGAAACATCATATATCAAATTTGTACTTAATTCTTCAATTTTTCGTAAAGTTTTTTTTTTTTTTTTTTTTTACAGCCTTTCCGATGGATTAAATGACAAAAACAAAGCAATAAAATTTGTCGATTATTTAAATAGTGGATCGTGTATATTGATCGTCGACTCTCGTCCCATTTCAGTGAACTTTTGTCGTCAATAGCGACTGCTATTTGTCAACCCGGCATACGAGTCAGTTTCCATCCTTCAGTTGAGTCAGGTCGTTATGGTTTGTTTGTTTATGTCGTGAAGAAGTCGTTTGAAGGGTTCTGTTTTTCTGATGTTTCAAAATCAGTCGTTAAAAGAAGTTCGTGCTTTAAGGTGCATCCTGAGTAGAGTCTCAGCCGCTTGAGTATTTCAAGTCAAGAAAAATTCAAGTTTGATGACGAAGTTTAGAATTTTTCCCGACTTCTTTTATTGCAGTGCCATCTTAACAAACATCACCATTTTGCGACACCAACAAAGGTGTTTCTAAGATACTAATTGTTATGCACACAAAAATGAGCGATCAGTCCTTTGGTATCACTACTTTTATCTTCAATACCTTCAGTCAAATTGATATCCATGTCCAATTGTTAGTAGTTCAGTTATGGTGATAAACAAGAAAATTTCCGAGATAAATTACACCAAGTTAGGCCTACTTTTAGAAATAAATGAATAAGTCGTGTGATCGCTCGAGGTTTGCATAACAATACCATTACAATTAGTTAAAAAATGGTGGCTCGACGCACGTAATCTATTGAACACTCACCAAATAATCCTGTTCCATTTTCCCCAGTGAAAGATGAACAAAATCAAACAACTGATGAAGAGTGAAGTCATCTTGCAAACATGATAGAGCTATAGAGCATACTTAAGGAGCCAGCATTTTTGCTACAGTTATTCAATAATTTAAAAGTTCTTATCTTTGCTTTATCCTCTTTAAACTCGATGATATCATCGTCTTCTCTTGGCCAAATTCTTTATTCTTCCGATAATTCGACATAATTCGACGTTCCTCTTCCTGAAATATAAATTAACACAGCCATCAGTAACTGCTTACTTTCTGAATCTTTCTTAAAGAGTAAAAAATATTGCTTGTAAAGAATATTTTGTTTTTATCTCTTTTACATAACGCTATAAAAATATTGTAAGGAGGAACTTGGTAGACAAGTCTTCGCTGAAAAACGTCGTGTCTTTTATAAATCTGACATATAGTATCCTGGCTTTTGCGTTCCACCTGAGGAGACCATTGAATTTATATTGCACTTTATTTCAACGAGGCATAGATTCTACTTCAGCAAATGCTGATACCCTTTTTCAAATAAACTTCGAGTTGACAAGCTGCTCATCCAAACAACTGACACGTGTTAACTGTTTCAACAAATAAGCTGTGATTTACTCAGCTTTCTGAAAAAGTTTAAGGCAATATTTTCCGAAGGATTGCTCACCTTCTGTTGTAGAATCACAAGAATGGTTTCCATTGTTCCTCCTTGAAGGCCAAGAGCCTTGTTCCTTCAGAGTTTAACTTTATCTTCAGCACTAGAACACGCACGTCTTTACTCTTCGCTGGTCAGAGTGATTTCACGAAATTTGATAATTTCTGATGAATATGGATGAACGACTCTAACCAATGAGCGGGCATTAAGGCATAAGTTTGCCACGAAGTTTTACAATTGCATGCTCAGCCAGCTAATCAAGAAGAAAAAACAAAACATTCTGTTTGATGAATTCGTGTGTCACGAGAGGAAAAAAATCAGAAAGTATGGCGCTGTAGAAACTATTCTTTCACTCAGAAAAAATACTCCAAAACTATTAAAGAACCAAATATTTTCTGCAAGATTTCCGCACAGCCTCATTCTTCATTATGTATACAGCTCTTTGATAAAGGAAACAATGGCGAAAACAACAGATTGTCTATGGGACGAGAGCTTGTTTTAGGAAAGTGTGGACTGTTGTTGGGTTAAGGGAGGGGTAGGTATGCAGTTGCCCAGATACTGACTTGATCCAAGTTTTTAGGAAGAAAGATTTACGGAAAAGTTTCAGTTCACGTGGTAATCTTTGAGAAAATACAGCCTTAGTCAGACGAGATCCACGACACTTATCGTCGAGAAAGATTGAGAAAAGTCATAATATATCCAAAAATATTAATTGGTAATGAAAGAAAGGGTCTTAGAGTGGGGGAGGGGAAGGGGAGGGGGAAGGGGGAGTGGAGAGGAAAGAGAGGGGAGGGGAGGCCAAGAGGGGAGATGAGGTCTGCCTTACTCAACTACAAAGAATTATATCATAGACCCAAAAAGGAAATTCGATACATTTTATTGCAAAAATCAACGTCTTTTATAGCTGTAAATGACCTACTATAAATTAACTGATTTATTACAAAATATCAACCTGACATTTTCAAGACTATGGTTTCGTCTGAGCATGCGTCTAAATTTATTCACCAACTTATTTTCGTCTGCGTCTACAAGCTAGAACTAAAATAATGTTTGAACAGACACGAGTAACTTACGAAGAAGTATGAGTCTTGACGATCATCTCCGGAAATTCCAACTCTTGGTTGGGATGTTCCTTGGATGTTCGTCGGTGTTCGGGTTTCTATTAAAGAAAACTATTAAAATGAAAGGTAACATTCTTTCTACACAGTAATATTGAAAATGAACAGTTACTTTGCAAATATGAAATCGCAAGCTTCTTAGTCCAGTTGTTCAGGAGTTCAGAAATCACTAACCTGAGGGAAGAGCTGTAGATCTAATTTTGAACAACCTAAAACTGGAATCGAGTTGCCCTCACTAAAACAGCGAATGTTTGATGGTCAAAGCAACGGGAGAAAAATTTCAACAAGAGCTTACGCGATGGAAAAGAGTGTCACTCTGTGGCGCACTCTCCGTAACGCAACGCCTTTACCAAGATTTCAAACATTTACAAAAAAGCATCTCTCAATTGATATAAATACAAGTTATTGTCCGTCACTCAAACACTCACACACACACACACACACTGATGCACGTGTCTGCCCGTTTAACGAGAAGGTCAAATTTACCTACCACAAAGAAATCATGTCTTTATAAATAATTGCTTTCAAAGACTTCAAGCTTTAGCAGCGTGAATATAATTTAAGTAACTACTTTCTGTAGTGTTAACCGATAATATACCACTTCCACTGTTTAACACATAACCCCACCACCTTCCGTTTCAAGTAGTCAACCCTTTAACTCCCACGAGTGACCAAAACAGAATTTCTCCTTACAATATCAATACAACATCAACCAGATAAGTGATGAGAATAAAGACAGATATCAATTTGGGAATAATTAGTTGATACAATACTAAATTCTCTGAACTAACAGTATAAGAATTGTATGGTTGACAGTAAGGAGAATTACAATTTGATCTGGGAGTTAAAGGGTTAAGAAGTCGTCCTAACCTCACCTTACCTTGTCACGCTGTAACGTCATCTCACAGACTCCTTCTATGAGTGTACAGCACCAGGATCAAGCAGCGCTCGAGTCATCTTCACCCTCCAAATAACATTTAAAATATTCCCTGATCCTGACAACTTCTCCAAAATATGTTTTGGTACGATGTCTCCTCCCGCTGTCATAAATTCATTTAAACCTATCTATAATTTATACGTGGCAATTTTTTTTCCAGATCCATAAAATTAATGTATACAGGTTCTCAAGTACACAGTACTCAGTATTACTATAAATGGAGTCGAAACACGATTTATCTGGGAAAGAAACGTGAAAATTACGGCAAATGGTTATGAAAAAGCTTGCTAAAACTATTAAGCGATGTTGAAACTCTTCACCACTGAAATGGCACAAGGTTTTTGATCTACAGTGCTGTACTTCACTTATACATGATAACGTCGAGAACTCGTTTTAACGGAAAGTCCACGATGACTTCCGATGTCTTTCAAAAATATCCAGAAGGGAATTCTCATCGCGATTTTTTATAAGTTCTACTTGAGATGAATTTAAAAATGAGACAAATAAAGACATCCTACAAACCTAACACACATACATCGAAATAAAAAGAATAGGGAATTTCACTTTTTTCACGTTTCTAATCCAATGATATTGATAATTACTGTTCCCTTACGATCGACATAGTCATTTTTAGTTACTATCACTGTTATTGATATTACTATTTATATCCTATATACAAATTCATACACAGGAGATGAGGATTCTACGAGTTCTCCCTAGTTCTCATCTTCCTCACGGATACCAAATACCCAGGAGGCCTGGAAGACAACACAGACGAGTCAAGTGTGTTGGTTCCATACCTTTTCTCGGCATACCCCCATACTAACCCCTTCCCTTCAAACTAACATTTTCCTTGAGAACTCTCGCCGTTTCTCTTTTTCTTCTCATACTTCAGCAGCTGCCCCATGAAGTTGAGGTTTGGTGAGATCACCGGCCTAAGCTCTTTGACAAATTTATATGCGTCTCCCAAGCACAGACCTTGCTGCTTCATGATGTAAGCCACTGTCACGGTGGCTGAGCGTGACACACCGGCATGACAGTGCACAAGAACACCGCTGCCGCGTTCTCGGGCTTCGTCTGTGAAGGAAACAAAAAATGAAAAGAAGTTAGATTGGCTGATGTCATACTTGACTTGGCAGGCAGTTGGACTTTTAGGGATGTTTTGCCTCATTGTGCCCCTTTCACTTGGTGCGGCATAGTCACATTTTAACGTTGTGACATTTTTGACTTTTTGACTTATCGTAACATGTGAATTCGGCGTGACTTCGTTTACCCATCATGATATCCTGACTCCAAGTGAAATTCTGACTTACGGTAAATTTTGGCTTTTGGTGACATTTTGTCTTCAGGCGAAAGTTCGACTTATCGTGACATATACCTTGATGTGTCATTGTCGCACTACCAACACCAGCTAATGAAGATGAAACAAACAGCCTTCTTTTTAAAGAGCTCTTCCGGCTAATGATACCAAAGGTTTGAACACTTCTGCTATCTGAAAACTTGCCCACTTTCAGCGCACGAGAGGCATTTCTCTGGTGCAATGGCCGGAAAATTGAGAACTTGCAATTGTGTCTTCAGTTGGTCAAGGCACAGAACTATCTAACTCAACAGTGGTCGTTTCCAGGACTTCACACTCGTCAAAGACCTTGACCGGGCGTGATTGACTACGACCAGCACGCAAAAGCGAGAGATCAGCGCGAATGACCTCCCTCTCACTTACGCGCGCCACATGGGATCTCCCGTATGCGTGTTACTTGCGCTCCCACCTGGAGGCTTTCAGAAGAACTTTTTTCCGAGCAACTTACCAATAAACTGAATAGCTTCGTCGAAATGCTGTGCTATATCCTCCTGGTTCGAGTCGTTTACTTTAATCTGCCTATAATTAAGATCCGATCTGTGACTGAAAAAATTAGGACATCGAGGAGTCAAATTAAGGATGTACTTAATTGACAACCTATCAATTAGGGTTTCATCAGCCGCGCCTTCTTCGTTGCCAAGATACAGGTAAGGTAAGATGGCCGTCACAGGAGTTCCTTGGGGGCGACCTGGGCACGAACCGCATGTCGTCGGCGAAGGCGGGAAGTCGGCGACGTCACAATGGTTGACAGGAGCGTTTTCGCACAAGTTTTGATAATCTCTGCAGAATTCTTTAAGCCCACCTGAAGAAAAAGGAAAGGAAAAAGGTCACCATCAGAGGAATTAACTGCCACGACTCCACAAAGATTTTTGAGTAAAAGTCAAAGGTCGAACATAATCGACGATACCTAACAATTACTTCATTAAAAAACGTTAAAAAACATGGTCAGTGTTGTCAAATGTAGCATCAACATTCTCATGACTAAATTGCCATAATAGTGAGTAATCCGTGCATCTTGAAAATGTGTCCATCAGAACGATCTTTACAAAAAAAAAAACAAATGGATTGGAAATACTTCTGGAACATATAAAGGTGTCCTTTTTTTTGGTATGAAAAGCACGCCACTGTCATAAAGCAGAGCAGAACATGACCCTGTCCTGAAACTTCCCAATCAGCGGGTACCAAACAAATGTGACCGGATGTCGATTTGACAAATTTGACGCAAGGGTGAACCGGAAGAGAGTTTGTTCAGTCCCCGGCTAGTCTTCCAAATGTGACCATTCAAAGACAGCAGTAGAGAATAGAACGCAATAAAAATCCAACGCAAAATTTAACCCACGCAGAAAAATTTCACGAAATACGTCCTGCGATTTAAGGCTTTCGCATTCCGTTGATCAAGACGGAAGTGGAACTGTCAAGTCGGAAAGCAGTTTGCCAAGTTGAATAGTTAGCGCGAGCGAAGCTGTATAGCACACCAAAACGAGCCATATCTGCCTGCTTTGCGAAGTTTTTCCCCACAAAAAGCGATTGTGTTGTGGAAATCTTGCAGTCAAGTGGTCGCTGCCGAAATGGAACCACGGCTCGAAGCTATTGACTTTGATCACGCCACCCGTAATTTCAAAAACGAATGCAGTGTTATAAAGACAAGCTTTGTGTTTACCCGTTAGGTGCGAGCGGCGTCGTTGCAAAAGGCTTCGTGTTTCACAACAGCGCGCGGTCATATTTCGCTTCTTTGCTTTCAATGCAGCTCTGATGCTAGCCGGATTCGTCCAAAGACGGATAAAATTACAAAAACCAAACATACGTAAGGAAGAAAAGCGCCATTAGGTCATTGAGAAGACGAAAAGTGCAGGTATTACTTAATTATGACTTAACAATTACAGACTTTGTTGCTTGGTTTATTATTTTCCAGGGTTACGCACTGGTGGTCCATTGCCATAAACACCTGTGGTTAGCTTTTTCAATTATCACTGCACAAACGACAAGACGGAAGCCCGCTTCAAGTTGAACCATTCGTGTTTGTAAAACATTCTAGCGATGGATGACCAAAGAGAAAATAACAAAAAGGGGAAGAATTACAGAAAAACTCTAGTAAAGACGAGTGGTTATTGACAGTGACTGGCAAGCGACGAGAGCAAAGCCATCCAAATGTTCGCCTAACGTCTTGATTTGACGTCTTGAAACCATGCTGGTTCTGTGGACCAGGCAGAATTTCCTCTGAAAAGCATTTTCATTCCCTTAACAGCAAACTCAAAGCAAAAGATACCAAATTTTGACGACACCGGCAAAACTTAGCAAATATTCAATCAAATTCACCTCGCGACCCTACGGCGAAAACTTGCGGACAAAAAAACAGGAAACATAAAAAATAACCGTTTCTATTGTCACATAGTAGCTGCCGCAAAACAGCAAAACAGCAAAACATGGCAAAGATTAACAAAAAAATAATATTACATAATATATGTTAAAAGAAAATCGACACAACTCTTAAATCCTATCGGAAGCATCTTAGCTACGAAATCACTTGTTTTGCGATCAAGAAAACTTCCTGAAATACTGAACGCATGTACTGAATATAGCAGGGGACGAAACACCAAGATCCTCATCACATCAACTCCAATAACTAGAAAAATTGTGATAGCTATCATTTACAAACAAAACAAGTAAATCATAACCTGACGAATTAAATAGTTTTATAAAAAATATCGCGTTTTTTAAACAAAAAAAAATAAACACAAGTACCCGGTAATTTTCAACAATTACAATCAAAACAATTTTATCATAACATTAAATTTACCCTAGAAGTAGTTTTCTACTCGGTAAACTTCTTGCTAAAAAATTACCTCTTGCATTTCTGTCTCGACCCCGCCGTCTTAAGGTCTCAGACGTTAGAAAGCTTGGCACTTTTACTTGGTTACAAAAACCCGAGCATTCTTTTTGAAAACAAACTGCGTATGACCCTCAGTTGGAGAGCGCGTCAATCTTTGATCCTTAAACCGACCCTCTCGACAAACCATGTACAGGCCGGCTGACCTTTCATTTACTGTCTGTTTCAGCAACATGAACAAACCGAAAGTCCAGAAAGGATAGTCAAATATAGGTCACAAAACATTAATTCTAGAAAATTTTTATAACATGACTCCAATTGAAGTTACCACACAAATTTACACGACCAATGCACGGCTGTTGACAATTAAAACTTTTTTTTTTTCAAACAATTGCTTTTAATTAAATTATCTCTTGGAAAGTGAATTTCCTTTGAAAACAAGTAATTACTTTTCTAACAATTTTCCCAAGTATTAGCGGTTTCTTAGCACAAAACCTGTAGAGATTGGTAGCTCCTTAAGAAAATTTCATTTGGAATAGAAAATGTCAAAAACTTCTTGCACTGAAAAGTAAAAACAGTTACTTATTCCTAAAGACAGATTTGACACAAGTTTCAATTATACAATATATCATAAACCTTATTTATAAAATAACTAGTAATCAGGTTATACATGAAAAACTTTACATTGGAGTAAAAAAATATTTGGTCACTTTTGGCTCGATCGATTTGAATTATGCAACAAAGGTACTCTTTTTGGTACAAAAACTCACCAAAAGATTTCTTTAGTGGTAAATTCAAGGGTGCTAAGGAAAGAATCCTACAAGGCATCTCAAACACCAATGGCTCCTTGCTCAAATTCTGGGCTTTCAGTTGACTTAATGAACCCAGCAAACTTAGACTACTGACACAAATGAACCACATAAGTCCACTTTATTGATGGTGAAATATCAAAAAGGTGAAGTCAGTGCTGATGTGATAAACTGCCCTTCAGTGGTCCGCATCGACCAGGACAATATGGGGGCATGATAAGAGAATTATCACCCCCTTGCATCATATCAAGGTCTATGCAAACCCTGACACAAATTCCAAATAGGAAACTCCTCAAGAGTCCCAATACACTTTGCCCAATGCTTGTTTTACTTCTGTAAAACTCTTTATGACTCTAAATTTGCCTGATTAGAAAGCAGTTCATAACAAGTGTGACTCAACAACACACTAACTTCATTACCACAGAACCTGCAAATTTTATGGGTCAGTTGAAATAAGAGGAGACAATGAAGGAAATTAAGTGACCCTTCAACCAATTACAAGAGTCAACCGTAATCCGTTGAGGAACATCAGTTAATAATAAATGAAACCTCAATCTAAGACAAAAGTAGTTTTGACTTTGAAACATTTTGGCACATTTTTGAAAAAGAAATTTAGACTTCAAATTATATAAACAAAGCTAAAAAATTGGTTACTCAAAAATTTCTGAATCTAACAACAGGTATTACCTTTTTTTTTCTACATAGGTTTAGTGACCTCTTAAGTCACTTAAATTCAATATTGTTTCCAGTTCAATGACCATGGTACTACCACAGATGTAAATATTTTTGGATGAATCCTCGCAAAGCGTAGAAAACAGAAGACCTTGAAACTTTTTAAGCTCAAGATATTATCAGTCTGGTCAACAATCTCACTGGAAAAAAGGAAGTTTAGTACATCGAGAGCTAGATGCCTTCTCAGTTTCACAACAGAGTTTAAAAGAAGAGCATAAATACCAGAGGTCACTAACTGTTGTCATGAAGCAACTTATAAAACTTGGTAACTCAGAATTTTGAGACAAGAGCTTTCAGACACCTAATGATTTTTCTGTGAGATCAACCTTAACATCTCTGGGAATAAATTTAAATTTAAAGAAAAGCATTTGTATAAATCAAAATGAGAGATTTAGAAGTCTAAAAGAGAGGAAAATGTCAAAATATCATCTTTCTAATTTAATTCATGCTTGACTTAGACCTGTGCTATAATGAAACTGAAATCTGTTAAATTTTGTGTATGAAACAATTAACTGATCACACTAAGTAATCATTTCCTTCCAATTGTGATATAATGGCAGAAAAGTCAAATCAGCAGCTTAGAGGGTAAACATTAAAGAGAAAAAAAGAAGGACTTAATATGCCGTACCGCATTTACAATACAAGAGCTTTCTGAGTAATTAATCATCAGAAAATTTCCTAACGCAATATTGACTCTTAATGAAGCATAAAGCTCAGTTTTAAATTTTTCTTAAGATATAAATTCTTCCAAATTCTATCAAAAAAGTTCATGAATCACAGTAACAAGAATTGTATCTTGAAAATATAAAATTGATTACATAACATGAACTTGCTGAACTAAGCATGATTCAGCATAAAAACTGTAAGGAACAAGGAAATTTGAAGACAGGAAATAGAAAGAAACTAATAAATTTGGATCAATAAACATGACAAGGCAGAAATGAGCTATTTTACAAAGGTCTCTTTCTGTTAGGAACCTCTCTTGACCAAAACAGAAAATATCTTATATAATAAGAAACACTAGTCAATAAATAGTTTTTTACTGAATATTGCGCAACTAATTAGGAACACAATATCAGTATTAGGTCCATAATGTAAATGCCAACTATGGACATTTCAACATATTTACCAACCCTTCATTTGATCATTTCTATTTATGAAGTAGTCAAAGTTAATTTGCAAACACTTGAATTCTTTGTGAGAAAACAAAACACAGATCATCAGAAATAAAAGTAGTTGAGTACAGTTGCCTAAAATACAAACTGACAAGAAGTAAAACGAAATTAATTTTTTCATAATCCATTACTCTTTCGGAGTATATTAAGAATGCTATGCATTTACTAACTTCAAAAAAGCTTGATTTCATGTCCATACAAGATTTTTAAAACTGCAGCAATTAAAATATTTGAGAAGTTTTAAATGCCATAATACGTATTCCAGTGACTCAATGAAGGTGAAAATTGTCAAAACTCACTGCAGCATAATCTTTAATGCCCATGCTAATTCTTTTCATAGCTTTTACGCTAGGTCATCAGCACCTAGCTTTAAACCACGCTAGGCATACCACGAATTCGGGATTAGATTGCAATCAGAGTTCTTTCGTAAGTAGCGTTGCATGACAAAACAAAAGCATCTTTCAGACGAACTGAGGTGTTTTCCCTATGTTTTCTTGATCTTGGATTAGATTTCGCCGATCGCCATAAATAAGATCAAACAGGATATGCTGAGATATATTTCTCTTAATGAATCAAAGGAAAACCGCACTGAACAATATTGCCGTACTAAGCAACTTTCCATTCGGAATATTTAAGCTCTTGCGTTCCCCTATCATCTGGTATTTTGATCCAAAATAAAAAAGTTTTCGTTTTCTTTTTAAACAAAGAAATTGCTTCGTGTCTCCCCGAGAGTTCATGCCGAGAAAATGCCAACGTCAGTGGCCCTATTTCCTGTTCAGATAAACAAAGAAAGGCCACAGAATACGAGCGCTGAAGAGAAAAGCTGTTTCGGTATTTGACCACTCACAGAAGCCCAAATCTGCGTCACAAGAGTTCTTGCCGTGACCACTCATCTACCGCGGTTGAATGATCGCATGCACACAAATTTCAACAGCGGAGATGACATAGCTCGCTACCAATATCATAAAAATAACGAAGGTCGCGTCTCTTGAAACCAAAACAGTGACTCCAGACAAAATCGGAAACTGCGTCAGGGTTGAAAAATCGTCCCAGCGCGAGCCTATTTCTGTTGACTGCCATTGACATAAAAGCGCGGAGAACTAAAACTCTTAAGCACTACGGTTAAACACAAATCACACTAAGAAAATATAAAAACAACAGAAAGTGTCATGAGCAGGACTTACCTTTTAGCACCGAAATATTTCTCCCTTCTTTTAAAAGATTTTGTAAAACTAAGCAAATCGGACGACACGGATTGCAATCTTCGGGATCACTTGACAACTCATCGTAGATAACAAAGGTTGTTCCCACTCCACCACGGATAAACTTCTCTTTGCCCTCAGCTGAAGAAATCAAGTCTTTTAGTTTAGCCTTGCCTTGTGAAAGTCGCTTACGCCCTATTCCAGTGCAATTCACATGGATAGCTCCTCTTATGTGTAGTCCGTTAAAAGCTACTAGCGATCTACAGTCAACAATAAGAATTTCTGCCGAATTACCCGCTCCACCATTATCAATGCTTTGAGCAAGTTCAGTTGACGAGACACTCTTCCATTTTCCACTGCTCATATCTGAGGATCGATTCACACATCCAACTTTCGACTGAGTCGGTCTTGGTCCCAAAAGAAGAGGAGGCATTAAGACAAAATTTAGATTACAAAAAACAAGGAAACCAAATTCAAACGCACGCTTCGCTCAGACAGCTGCCCGCGTACAAATTTGGCTTAAAGCAGTCTCTGTACACGTGTAGTAGAAAATATCCGAAACAAATTGTGTCCAAAATAAAACAACGTTTTCTCTGCCTTGAATATTTTCAGCCTTCAGGCCGAGTGAGGAACAGTCCTTTTCGCTTTCGAGAGATTTAGGGATTGTACTACACCTTTTTGCATAGCTTGATGTGAAACATAGACTGCAAAAATAGAACATTCAAAAGATAATAATGATGTCATCCACAGCCAATGAAATCATGATTTTGAATAGCAACAAAATAATTCGTACGAGTCATCCCATATATGGTTCGTGCACTATTACGTAATCAGCGAAGGTCTCCGAACACCTACGAGTCACTCCTCACGAGAACTAACGAAGGTCCATGCGGAAAAGAACGTTTTATTACTCTAAAAATAATTATTATCCGTGGGTTGAGCGTACTTCCGCGGGTTGTAAACTAAGATCACGTCTTCCAAACATTGCACCAAAAAATCATCAGAAGATCGGGAAATCTAGGGACTGTTCAATCGACGGAAAGATTTGTTACTACAGCGGCAAAAAATCGGGCACAGAAAATTATAAATCATGTTTTTTTTGTCCGCAAATGCCAATATCGTTAGTTTTTGCTAGCATTTTCTCGAGTAAAAAAGCGTAGGTCGGTTTGTAAGCAAAAGCTGGTTTCCACTCCTTAAGGCGAATTCTTAATGTTCTCTTACAGGGCGTAAAGAATCAGAAAATAGACTTTGGCGCATAATTTCTTTCATTCGTCATTTATGGAGGTATATTGATTAGATGTGTCAATAAGCCATTTTAACACGTACAGGTCAAGGAAGCAACAACCTTGTTGGAGTTTGTATACAAACAGAGACATGTCAAAGCCGATGTTAGGTGAAGTAATTCCTAAAATTAACCTAATTGCATTATAAACAGCAACAAAGTATCGAAATTTTTCAATTCATCCGAGAATTTGTTAACACAATTTAGATTGGGGAATATCTCTATTGTTATAAATAACTGTGCAGGCAAAGTGACTCTAATCCCCTAGCGTTGAAGAGGATTTAGTTCGCGCACAATTTTGATTTTTTTTTTTTAGTTAATTACCTTTTTTCGTCATTGTGTCACATTCAGAAGCTGTTAAATTGGTACAAACTTGCCGTGCTCACGATTTACTGTTTCCGTTCAACATGTCTTTGTCAACAGAAAACAACTCGCGTGCTTTGTAAAAGATTAAAAACCAAATGTGTTTGCGAACCGAATGTGTTTTCGAAAAACCACCTTAATTAGAGAACGCTTTTAAGAAAGAAATAAAAGTTATATCATAGCCATAAATAAAAAAGACCCTGACTTGACTTTGACCTCGCTGCAGAAATACGAGAACTGTTAAAACCATGAGCGGAAAAATGTTCCCATGGATACTGTATTAATCCTGGAGATCAATTTTCTGACAAGGAATAAAACTCTACGTCTTAAAATTGAAAGTATAAACAGGGAAAAAGGAAATCTTTGACGCTTAGCCCTTTCATTTTTAAAATCACGCTCGCTTTCCTCGTTGGCCATACGCGCACGTGGTCGACACGTGGGATGTCAAGTCGGGTAACGGGGAAATCACTTTGGAAGTGGAAAGCAAATTAGTGATGCGATGAAGCAAAGATCATTTGGAAAATCAACGAACCTGAACTGTATAAGGTCCAGGAGAGAATACATGCGTAGCTCCTGTTTATTCAAATGTTCTATTTTTAGCGGTGAAACTGCCGAGTTGCCAAATCAGTCATGCTGGCCCCCACTTTTAATTTCTTGCTGCTTTTTATGTAATAACAGGAATTTAGTCTTCGTCGGAGAGCTTGTAATTAAGAAAACGTTCATTAAAATGTTTAAGTAATCCCAGATTACGCTGAAAATCTAGGTCTTTTAGAAATTGCGAATTATTGTGGCGCTTTACCAATACTCGCGCTCGGTTGCTCGTGGAAGCGCAGACATTGGGATTGAGAGTCATCGTTTCCATAGAAACATTTTAGACAGAAAGACAAAATGGCGACTTTCGTGAGACTGATGGAATCAAGGGGAAAAGTTGTCGATCAGTTATTCGAAAATAAGAGGTTAGATTAGTTATTTGAAGCTATAAGTGTGTCGTTTATTTATCATTTTATTCTTAGCTTCTTTTCAATATAACCACTCACGTTCAGTTTTGAATTTTTTCAACAACATTTTGCACCGTAGTATTTTTGCTCTCCAGTGTAGTGTTATTTATTTATACAATAAGGTTTATTGGCGAAAGATTTCGGCGATCTGTTACCGATTAATATATTATTTTACCGTAAATAGTCCTGCTCTGTCGGGAAGAACTTAAGCGGTTGAATTGTTTCGATGTTTTAGTACAGTTTGCGCGCAAGCAACAGGTATTCAAAACATGTTTCTCTCGCTAAATATTTGACATGAAAAACACTACACTGTTTAAATAGCATTGCGGTAATTCACTCATAGTGTTTCGCTACAGCCATCCATTGACGTTAATCACTTATCAACGCATACAAGGATCATTATAAAAGATAACAATATGTCAACTTTATCATTTTCATACCAATTTGTTGTTGAATTTGCAGAGATGCCGAGGATCACAGAAATAACGAATTCCTGGCTGCGCTTAAAATCCAAAGTTGGTTTAGAGGAACTAAAGTTCGAGCTTACTTGAGGTAGGACCTGTGCATGTTACAGAACTGCACATTCTTTTGTATATATGTTCTAGTAAAATGCTTCTCCAATGATGATTTTAGGAATTTGCTGCGTTGCTTAAGCCCCTTTTCCCATGGAAAATAATTGGGCATCTATATTTGTCCCAATAAAATGTATCTCCTTTTCCCACTAGCTATGAAACAGCAAGGAAGACTTCCACACTGCTTGTAAATGTCTCAAACTCCCAGAAGTGATTAACATTTAACTTCTCCCTATTATATTCATTACATTTGCCAGCAAACAGGTAATGAGAATTCCTAAGCAAATCAGGTAAATGTTGTTATCTTGACTTAACACCAAATTCTTGTAGCTAAATTACAGAGAAATGTGTAGCAGCTAGAAGGGAGAATTTTCAATCAGATCTTGGAGTTAAAGGGTTAACCTTGTTGTCTTAAGGGTGCAAGGACTAACCTAATTGTCTCAAGCTATGTCTTATCCAGAAATCAAAATGAGGAAAAGCATTGTACACTAGATCATTCATCACTTCCTTCTTTAACCCATTTAACTCCCAAGATCTGATTTTCAATTCTCCTCTCTAGTTAATACATATTTCCTTATAAATTAGGAACAAGAATTTGGTGTTAGATCAAAATAACAACTTCTACTTGATATGTTTGAGTATTCTCATCACCTGTTTGCTGGGTAATGTATAGATAAGATAGAGAGATGTTGCAGGTTAATCACCTCTAGGACTTAAAGGGTTTATTCGAGTATGGCATTGGAAATTATATTATTTGTCATTGTTTAATCATGCCAATCTGAAAAGTACACATTGCACATATGTTTTTTGCTGCAGATTTCTCCATTATTGTGCCACCACTGTGCAAAGACATTTCCGGGGACACAAAGGTAGAGAAATATACAGACAGATTGTACAGGTAAGAAGATTCATAATGAAGCTCTTTTTTCATCATTGTTGTTTATGAAGTAAGACATTAGCTAAGATAATATGTATCTATTGACTGAGTGGAGGGGATGTTTAGATAAAAATTTGGCCCAAGAGCGAGCACAGCAAGGTCTTTGCATTGTAACCTCTAAATTTTCATTCCATGGTAGTGTCAATCATACAAAGATTAGAACATCAAGGGGGTATTGTATCAAATCTGGTCAAAGCAACATATAAATTTTGGAACCAGAAACTGACTAGGCTGAATTATGCGAGACTTGAATATTGGTCTTTGAGGTATAATTCTCTTTAAAAAATTAGAACTTTAATACTTAAGGAAATTTGTAGACATCTTTGATTTAAGAATTTGGCAAAAAACTTACTCTTTTGTTAGGAAAAAGTAGCCATGATGCGCACTGATTTCTTTAACAAGCAAGCAACACTGGTAAGTGAAAGACATAGCTACAGATGTTATTTTTTGGTAACCCTCCATTTATTTCTAGTGAGGGCTTTTTATTTAATGTTATAACTGAGAACTTGTACACTTTTTTCTTTCAGATTCAGAAATTATGGAGAGGTAATTTATGCTCTGATGTGAATCAAGAATAATTTAATGATGTGAAATAAAAAGTTTTGTGTGATTTATATCACCCTTCCCTCTGAAGTACAACTTACACCAACTTACTTTGAAACTTTTTTTTTAATGTAGGTTATTATGTTCGTAAATATATCTACAATTACTACAGTCGTAAGAGGTATTTGGAAGGAGTCATACTCAAGAATGAAGTAGTTCGGTGAGAGAGTTTACCTTGTTACTGTTTCCTCCTAGTTTTGGTAATTTTAGTGTTTAACCCTTTAACCTGTAAGAGTGACTAGCATCTAATTTCTCCTTACAATATCACCCCCAAATCACACATTAAGGTAATGAGAATAAAGGAAATGGTCACCAACTAAAGAAGCTCTGGATTATGAAACAAATTCTCCACATCAACTCCTTAGGAAATATATATAGAACTGTATGGAGAATATGCATACTGATGTTAGGGTGGGAAGGGTTTACTCCTATAAGTGAGTGACCAAGACACAATTTCTCCTTACAATATCAATACAATGTCAACCAGATAAGTGATGAGAATAAAGAAAAGAGGGTTATTAATTGATCCAATACTAACTTCTCCAAACTAACATCATAAGAATTGCATAGTGACAGTAAGGAGAATGATAAATGAGATCTTGGGAGTGAAAGGGTTAAGTGATTGGGAATATTAAGTTACTCCTGGAAAGTCAGTGCTATAACTGTGCAAATCATTGAATTCTGAAATGGACCTTTAGTTTTTCTTGGCATCATGCTCACTCTCTCACGCTGACCTGTTGGTGCATTCTCTTGTGTTGATGTGAGCTTTTTGTCATTCCTCTGTGCAAGTACAGAAATTCAAGATTGTACTGTTATGCACAGTAGTTTAAGTTAGCCTTACGATATTATGTGTACATGTTACAAAAGAAATTTTTAAGAAAATATTGATGATCTCTAATGTTTTATCCATGGTTTCAGGAAAGAGTTGGAGGAGTTTGCTCTTAAATCAAAACAAGAAAAGGAACGGAAAAGGGAAATTGAAGAAAAGGTAATATGATGTGAAGTATTCATCATAAAGAAACTGGGATAAGCTTACAACTCACTTGCAGGCATCTGCAGCGGGAGGTTGCAGGTTGTAGAAAACAGACTATTTTACAGTTACGTACTTAGTTGTCAAGCCTGTGATTTAGAGTAAGGCTTATGGTGACCTTGTTATGATAGAGACCAGTATCTAGTTAGCAATTGACGATCACTCTTTTGAAGCCTTTAAACTCTTTATGGTGGCCAATTTGTGCTCTTCCATTGATGTAGCACCACAGTTTCTTTTGAGACTTACCCCCTTCAAATGAAGAGCCACTTTAGTTAGTGATCCTAGCCTTAATTCTCCTAGGGGCCTTGAAGTTTGATTCAGTGGTGGTATTGTAAGGAGAGATTATATACCATTTTTCCTAGGGGTTGAAGTGTCAACTAGCTACTACTTCAAAGAATATGTGATGTTTATGATTGAACAATGTCTGCCTCTGACACATGAACAAGTTCTATTTTTCCTCTTCAGAATGATAAAACACTGAGTAAAGTATATTGTTTGCTAATTCCTTATTTTAGCTTGCAAAAGAGGAGAAAGCAAGAAAAACACACTACTACATCAGCACTCATCAAATCCCTGGAGTATACAACTCACCCTTTTTCCCACCACAACCATCAGCAAAAGAGATTGAGTTGAGGAATGCAAGACCTCTAAGCCGCAGAAGCCGGCAGAAGCTGAAATCAGATGCAGCACAGATTCTTGATCAATCTCGAAGTGTTAAAATGGTTACAAGGGAGTCCAAGACTGTGCCTCTTCCTCCAATATCTATGAAGTCAACCGCAAAAGTCCAAGTAAGGATTGATTTTAAAATATTACCCTTGAGATTAGATGAAAAGAACAGTTCAGAAATATTCAATTGAATGGTGACAAACCAGGTTGAGTGTGACAAAGGGTTTAAATGTGATACAAAGATCAAAGAAAGACCTTTGAGCATGATTTGTGAATTTACTAACCAGTGTGAGGTGTAATTTGTTTCCTGAAATATAACTGACTTGCGATTTTTTTTCTTTTATTTCCTGAAATTCTCAAGATTTCCCCTGAAACCTAGCACATATGAGGAAGGATTTGAAGTTTTCCCTTTTAAATTAATGTTGTGATGTGAGAAATTGCCTGAAACAGGACTTTCCTTCCCCTGCCTCATGCTACCCTCTATGGTTTCACTCACAGACTCTAACGTTAGGATTCATTCTTGTACAGCATAATAAACAGTATGGTAGCCATATGAAAGTACTACTCAGAAGCTGTAATTTGATTGCAGTCACATGCCAGGGTTTCATCCACAGACTTAAAAGTTATATCACTTTGCTAAGCTTTGTTAACACAGTACCACATGGAATTACTACTAGTTAGAAGCTTTCACTTGAATAATCACAATTTTGCTGTCTTTGAAAAATTTACTTGTGGTTATTAACACCAAATTGCACTTGAAATCATGTTATTACCTATAATTACAGTCCTAACATTGGAACCTTATACAACTCAGCTTCTATATTGCCCATATACATGTAGCAAAAGTATCTGGGATTGGTAACTAACAGTTCTTTTTTAACTTTAGGGTCCATTCCGTACTCCAAATGAGGTGTGGCAGCAGAGACACAAACCTCTAAATCCAACATTAAGGGTGGCCACTTCTTACCTCTCAGCAGAGGATGCAAGGTAAATGCTGAATGATTTCTAAGCTGTAAATTAAGTAATGAGCTGGTTTAAGTTTAGTGCAAGCTTTCAAACTCTTAACACTGGCCAATTTACGTTATCAACTCAGTTGATAATACCAAATTACCTTGTTATACTCCCCTACCGACGCAGCACCACAGTTTCTTTAGAATCTTACCCCCTTTATTTATTAAGTATATAAGTATTAACAACAGTCTAACTCGGGACTATACTTTTATCTTGATGATGGATCAGACCACATGACTTTGAACTCCCATAAGTGACCGAGATATACTTTCCCCTTTCAATATCAATACAATATCAAGTAAACAGGTTAATGAGAATAAAGAAAAATATCCAATACCAAATTCTCCAAACTATCATCATAAGAATTGTATTGCAGACAGCAAGGAGGATTACTACTGAGATGTTGGGATGGAAAGTGTCAAATGATACTATTCGGTTCAGACTATTTACTGTGTTATATTTTCATTTCTCTCTCCTAGAGCTGACATGAAAGCTGATGAATGGGTAACAAGACTGATAGATGATAAGTGAGTTGTCAACTTATCTTGTCCTAACGATTAGATGTTGATGAAAGTGCAAGCGTCTTTCAACTGAGACACTGAGCCATATCTGAGAATGTCTTACGCGACTATGAAAGTGGACCAAGCGCGTTTGATAATCACCTCCTTGTCATTTCTCTTCATCAGCCATATATCCAGTTAGAACGATATATGGGTTCGTAATCTTGTTTTCAGAGTCTGGCCAGCCAGGTGTCCCGATTACTACGTGCATGACAAACAGGACCACTGGGATGAGGTTGATGGTACTTTCATCAATCATTGCTTGGATCTTTCCTGCATTCTTTCACATACTTTACCATGCCTGTTTCCTGTTTCTTTTGTCTCGCCGTAACTACAAAGTGTAACACAGTGGTTTAATGTCTGCGCATGTGTTAACGTTGCTGTAGCCAGGGATCGTGGTTAGGTGGCGTGCTTTCAGGCTCTTACATCCAAGTTCTCTCACCGGAGTTAGAAAAGCCACACGAGCGAGTACGTTACGGTCTTTGAAAACCGTAAACTTTTCCTGATAACGCTCAAAACAAAGCGGTAAATCAACGTGAAACCCGAAACTAAATAAGCTTTGTGTTCGAAAAGTTTTGAGTTTTCCTTCCATGTACTGTTTCTCCCTCCTACAAATTTCTATGAACGTCTCCGCATATTTTGCGTGACAGCGGTGCACGAAAAACTACTTTGATGTATACTCCTCAACGTGCTCCATGTTGATAAAGTCTCAGTCTTTCATGCTTTTTCCGCTGAGTTCTTTTGTTATCTTTGACGAACGCTTGGACTCACTCGTGTATCTCACTCGTGTATCTTGGAATCACCAGTGTATCGTATTTCACCAGTTGATGGATACATTACTTTTTTGGCAATTTTTATTAGGCGTTAGGTAGGACACCGCCATCATCACGATTTAAAGGATCGTGGGCGGAGTTGATATGCCAGGCTTCTAAACGAAGGCAGTGGTGGTAACGCCGTTTAGCGTTTAATTTTAGAATTATTCCATCCATTTGTATTGTTAGTTGGGCATGTATGCTCCGAAAAAGCTGAATTTTCTTATTTGCAAAAGAAGACCGCTTTTTGATGCTCTTTCAAACGTGTACCAAACTGACGTGTGGTTTGTCCGATATACTCGTGATTACAGTCATTGCACGGAATAGAATAAATAGCGTCGTTGTTCGTTGTTCTTTCGTGACAGGATCCTTAGCTTTGGCAAAAATATGCCCTAATGTCTGAAAAGGTTTTTCCACAACCGTTACGTTAAAGTTGCTCAAAAACCTTTTCGGACTTTAGGGCAGCTTTTAACCTCTACATATCACACTACAAGACCGAAATAACACTTGCTAGTAGAATCTTGTCTGGCAAAGAAGCTTCCCGTTTCCCTGAAATGTGAACATCATCGGCAATTTCTTTCCTCTGAACAATCTTTCCACAGCTAACAGTTTCCTCTGCAATCATACAATGAAGGAGATTCAATCCATCACCTTCTCTTTAACCTATTTCTTACCTGGACTAATGCCACAGGAAACACAGGAACTTTCTTTCTCCTTACTCCTCGTTGGACTCATTTTACTCTACTGATCATGTTGGGTGTACTGTTCATCATCTGCTCAAGGTTTGGTGAATCCATCACGAGGTGACCTTTGAGATCTGCGTGTAATTCTCCCCACTGAATTTCATACATTTCCTAGTTTTCAGTTTAGAGAATTTTATGTTGTATCATAAGATATTATATCACGTTGTCCAGGACTTTTATCCCAATTTTTACTATCTTTCTCCTAAACGGTGTTTTGATTTAGAAGAAGTTACATGCTGTTACCTCTGATTGTTTCAGGTTTGTTCCATGTACTCATCGAGAGCGCCCTTATGAACCTCTACTACACACAACGTCACAATATGGAAGGTGAGTTCAGTTTCAAATCAGCCAATCAGAGCAAAGGAAAATATCATAAGGAGCCAATGAGAGCTTGTAAATAACTGCGTGTGACAAAAGCGCGGGAAAACGTGTGTCACCAACATGCGACTGGCTCCAGTTTACCTCTGATTGGTGGAAAAAGTGGCGCGAGTTTTTTTAGACCAATCAGAGCGCGAAGGAAAGGAAAGCAAGCACTATCCCGGATTACTTTAAATACGTAGAAAATATTCATTACATGGTTTTTCTTATTTTTTTCATATGAAAATTTTAACGTTCTTTTTCTTTAGTCTTCCTTATGGAACAAAGCATTTCAGAGAAGAAAACGTAGACAGACATATCACGCCTTCGGTAAGAACTACACAGTTTCTTCTGTAATTTGTTACCATGTCTTGTGATTTTCATTTGTGGCCTCTCGGTTATTGCAACACATTATTCGCGCCTTCTAGACTGGTGTATAATACGAAACTGGATAAAGACACGTCAGGGGAGGGCTTAGTAACATAGTGATCAAACGTCAAGCATGCGCAGGTGGTTCAATTTTGACCAGCCGCGTGTCAATTTCCCGCGCAAAGCTTTAATAAGAAACAACGCTGTCACGCAAAATATGTGCAAAAAATGTAAATGAATTTTTAAAAACAAGATAAAAAAGAAGGAAAAAGGAAAACTCGAGACTTCGAACACAACGCTTTATTTAGGACGGATATCTCGGTGCTTTATCGTTTTGTTTTGAGCTTTATCAGAAAAGTTTCACGGTTTTAAAACACCGTGAATAACTGGCTTATATGGTTGTTTGTAACTTCTGTTAAACAAATTTGTTGACGGACTGAAAACATGTCTCTAAGCTTTTACAAAGTTCGCACATGCGCAGACGTTTGACCGCTGTGTTGGGTTTAGTTGGCTTTTTAGGGAAGGGGGTAGCGATTTACATGATATTGACGGAAATGATGGTCGTAACGTCCGGAAGTCTAATTAGAAATATCTTGAGGTGAGAGTGTCTCGACTTTAATGCTAACCTTTAAAGGTACTATTTAGATGATTGGGCTAAATTAGCAGAAGTTACCGGCCTTGGGAAAAATATTGATTAGTTTATGTACATATTTTTTTCTTGGCAGAGATTTCAAACAGTGGCATCGCCGATTCCAATCTTCGAGCAGTTTGGGAAAACGTACTGATGTTGAACATAATACTACAATATTTAAATAGCAGGTTACCACTTAAAATGCAGATGATGGTTACTATTTCGGCTTCAAAGTGGTTGGTGTAAAATATAGAAATCGAAGTAGGTTCTATTTTTCAAAAAATCTCTCCATTAATTTTTTTGTTTTATTTTTTAATTTTATCATTCTAGTCTACGTTTTCTTCCATATTTGTGTTAAGTAGTTGTGCTTCTGCATCTTTTTTTAATCTGTTATTAGTCAAAGCGAAAATTGAACTTAAAACTTGTCGTGGCGAATTCTCCTTTGTAAATATTCACTGTGATGGGTCGCGTTTTTACAGTTAAATTGTAAAATACGCGATGCGAAACTGATAACGAAAATAAAATCATGATTAATTATTTGAATATGGAATTTTCTTCTGGATTTTTCCGTGCTCTGTGAGTATACTTTCGGCACTTCTTGTGTTCAAGAGAGCACCATCTGGTCAGTTCGTGAAACCTTTTGTAAGAAACGAAGGGTTTTCTATTAAACCTCGGCGTTTGTAAAATTTTAGTTGAATTTATTGCCCTTCAAAACGTTGTCCTCTGTCCAAATTCTCATTTTTATGCAGATTGCTCATTGAACACAAAAGTAGTAGTTCCGTAGTTCATCGGAAAGATGATATTGGATTGAACGTTTCATGAGTTTAACATTCGTGAGAGGATGTTCTCTGATGTAATCAATAGTTTAGATTTAAAATTGATATTATGTCGATTCTTTATTACGAAATCTGTTTGGGCGTCCATGGATCTTCCCAATCCAATATAACTCTCTAATAAATTCTTTTTGTAATCGCAGATTTGCCGGGTCATGGTTTTGATAATTTTATTTTATAACTACTGTTACCAAATTTTGATTTTGAACGTAAAGATATTTCAAATCTATATGAATCTGATATATAATATGATTTTCCAAAAAGACAACGCGAAAATCGAAGGACTCTTTTTTTCAATATCAAAGGTTGTTAGATTTACTAGGCTACTTTATGGTAGCAACTGTGGTGTATGGTCAATTAATGGTTTTGCCGTTTGCATTTGTATTTAGTCGATTTTGCGAGAATTTTCATTGGGCGAGAAGATTTCACAAATGATTTTTAAGTTTTCAGTGACGCATAGACGGAACAAACACAAAATATATACTTAAATCTCCTTTCAAATCTGTCTTTTTGTGATATACAGCAATATCACAACAAGCACACCATCTCAATAACGTATATACGTCAGAGATAATTGTTACTGCAGAAGAAAGGGCTTCCGCCGAACTCAAAAGATTTGTATAAAGGATTTTGCTTCAGTTGATAGATGCAAATTCAGTTCGATCCTCACTTAAGATCGCTATTACTTACGGTCAATACTTTACATTTGCAACAAATTTCGACGCAAAACACCTGCATTCATTATCAGTTAAATTACTTGATGTTATGGTTTTCTCCCTGCCAAGCGAAAAGGTTACACCGTTGTTGTCCTAGTTGAAAATTTCCAAGTGGTCATAATGTTCTTCCACCGCGCGCCTTTGGCTTTCATCATTTTTTTCTTGGTCGCTGCAGTGTTGTTTTTCTGTTTTCTGGCGTATTTCTATGTGTGGATGTGTTGCCGAAAGAGATATCGCCTCAAGGAGCAAAAGAAAGCTACCGCAGCGGAAAGAAAAACGAACGAAGAACGATTCCATGACCTTACCAAACCTGAAAGCAGCGAGCAATCGAAAGGAAACAGGTTTTATCCAATTGTTTTCCACAACAAGAAACAAGAAACTTCTGAGCTAAGGCTTCTGTAAGAGGAAAGTAACCTTCTCTTATTTTCGCATCAGAATACTGTTTTGACAATCTTCGTCCCCCTTTGTAACTTTCGTGATCACAGAGGAATTATTTATTGAACTCGCCAAGGGTACTCTTTCAACTGACTGGCTTTTGTTGCAACAAATTGTAAACGCAAAGGAAAACTATTTTCATATTACCTCTTCAAGATACTTCTTTGCTCACTTAAATGTTTTTTTTTTTCTGTTATATTTTCTGACAAGAAAATAAGCAGTTGTTATGTCATCATTTCGGTTTCAGAGAGACCATTAAATTAGACTACATCGTAACTTTTACAGACCATTCTGAATAGCGTGTCGATGCCTTCGAAATCATTGTGCGGTGTCTGCGTTTATATTTTTTGGAAATTTCTCAGAAATAAACAAAATAATTTTATGTAAATAGAAACGTCGAAATAGAGCAGATTTAATCAGAAATATGTACATTTTACGTTTCGTGAGTGTGTTTTGTACTGATTATGAGTTCTGTTCCCTCGTTAAATTAAAAAAAAAGCAGCTATGGAAATTACATTTTTCAGAGAGAAAAAGAAGTTGTCATCTTGAAAAAAAAATTGTCTAGAGATTAGCAAACGTTTATAGAAAACACCTGATGCCCTTTGATAAAATTCGCTTTAAAAATCTTAGTTGCTTGTCATTTACTGAATTGTTGGTAATTATGCAGTCTGAGATTCTTCCTTTGAAGGATTCGATTGCTTTTCAATTAGAGCAGCCAAGTTAACCAATCGCAGCGCTTTTCCAGCCAAGGGAAGATGTAATATAAAAAATAACTGTCTTTTCTCCTCTTTGCTGTTAAATACATATTCTTCTTTGAAGTCTTCTCATCTTTTCCTTTTTATTTTCGTTTTGCGTCTTGTTAATTACAAGAAAAGCTTAATCAGTGAAACATGTCAATCAACTACTGTCGGATACAAAGCGCGGGGAACGCGGTAAAGATCGAAGCGAATGCGTCTTTTAATCCCGCGCGCCAGTGTAATAGCGTATTTATTCAATTATACGCCGCCCTTGAATAAGCGCCGTACTTTAGAGCAGAAATATTAGTAAACGCCGCATCATCATGCGACGTTTATTTGATTAATTAATAGACTCAAAATACACACAGCGATCATTACTTCGATCGCAGTTGGAAATTTTGAGTGAACCAGACACAAATCCTTTTAAATGTACCAGTTCTGATGTCGAGAAAGCATATCCGACATACGAACTTTATTTACTTTATGTATTGCAGTAGTATTAACATGCAAATTGTAAAATTGAGAAAAATTTAAAAAATAACTGTTTAGACAATCACTACAACATGTTTGTTTTTTAACAATTAAAATGGTCAATTACCATACCACTTTTTTGGATTTTAAATAAACGCCGCCCTCGTATAAATGCCGCACTCGAATAAACGCCGCACTCCAATCACGAAAAATTTAATAAACGCCGCGGCGTTTAATCGAATAAATACGATATTGGTTCTTCAGTGGAGTTCGTCTTATGTTTAAGGGTAGAATTATATTCTGGAGAAATAAAAGAAGTATTTTTTTCCGGCTAAAAATGGGTCAATATTGTGGCAGATCACTCCCTAACAAAAGTTGCAAATTCTATCTCTCCTACACGATCTAGATCTCTACTCGCCTTTGAGTCTGCCATGCTTTTCCAATAATTGAACCTCTGAGAACTTGTGTTAAATCGAAAAAAAATTCCTTTGTTTATATTTTTCATTCTTCTGGTCTCCTTTATGCATGACGAATTGCTGGAAGTGTAAGGGGAAATATCTTAGAAGTCAATTCCGAAGAAAAAAAGGGATCAGCATCAGTATCTGGGCAACTACCCACCTACCCCTCCCCTAACCCAACAAAAATCATTGATAACAAGTTGGGATACACTGATATTGATCCAGTGGATCAATATCAGTATCTGGACAACTGCCCACCTACCCCTCCCCTAACTCAACAACAGTCAATTAACAACAAGTCAGGGTTAACGTTGGGTTAGGGGAGGGGTAGGTGGGCAGTTGCTAGTGATCCGATCCGGCAACGATAACATATCCCCTGACCCTCCAATCTTGTTGTCTAATCATTTGAGCTCTAAGAGTGATTGGGATCTGATTTCTCTTAACAAAATATCAGCCTTGAATCACACTTAAAGGTCAGGAGAATAAAGAAAATGATCACCACCTGAATAAGCTCTTGATTGTTAAACAAATTCTCCTTGTCAGCACGTCAGGAAATGTATATGGAACAGTATGGAGAATATGCATACTGATGTTCGGGTGTAAAAGACAAACACAACTGACAGATCTGCAATTTTAACTTTATTTACATTAATCTAATCAACAGTAACTACAACTTGGTAATGATTTTTTTTCTCTCGATGCCTATTGACTAAAGGATCACCCACTCTACCAATTTACGTCCATTTGAATACCTCTTTGGTTTAAATTCTTCCTTCCTGGTAATAAACTTTGTTCTTATATAAAATACGAATGATTGTTGATTCCTACATGTGGTTCTCGAAACTCACCGATACGTATGCGAAAACGACATCTAATGATTCTAAAGATATATTTTTTTTGACGTAATTACCAAAATAGAGCTCCAAAAATAATTCTTCAACTAAGAACTACGAATATGAGCGGTCGAAGGTTTACTAACAAAAAGAGAAAATTATTAACTGCTTCTTGAGATGACGCACTGCATCTTGGGATGACACGACGCACCGAAAAGGCCACCGGTCAGGAACTAAATCGTCCTACGACGGTACAAATTGTAACTAATGAAATTTACGGATCGGAAATTTCCAAAAATTGGCGAAAGATACCGAGGAGTCTTCGAAAGATCATGATGTGATTGCGAATTGGGCTGCACGACGAATGGATCGAATCTGCAACTAGATTTTCCGAAGTTGTCTGACATCGGGTACATTTTTTGAAATAACTTTACTTTACATCTGTGCGCTTAAAACGAAAAAAGTATTCGTTGAAATTTTAAAACAATTGTATTCAGAGAAATGACCTCTTGCCATGATTGTCATTCAAAGGAAATGCAATCTAACTTCGGCCTAAAATATCTGGAAAGAGAGAAATTCACCAAAGTTTCATTAGTCGTGTTTCCAGCCACGCAGAAGACAGACTTGAAACATAGAAATGATTGGTCCAAGCCAAAGTACTTGAACCATAATTGTAACATTCTGCGAACCCCTTCTTTAAAGGGACACATGACCTTAGTCAACAAAAGATGCTAAGATTCTTCTCCTCTGAACTTTGACCCGGCTGAGATGGCATAACATTCAATGAATACAACTGTCTTTAGTACTTCTCGTAAAAGCATAATTCAAAAATTGTTTGAATTCATGACAAGCTCACCTTGCCATCTTTGCTTGAATATCATTTCAGACATTCCCTATCTTTAAATTAGCACAGAAAGAGGGAGATAATAATAATCTAAAAGATTGTTCCATAACGAATCACTTAATTTTATCCATCATTAAATATGTCCACAGGGCACCCTGAAATATTTACATGACCGAAGTAATTCTCTATTAGGGATATGACCCATCGTTTTCCTGATAGTCGAAAATTACAAAATTGGTAATTTAAATTCTAAAAAAAAAAGTATTGACTTTGATATTTCCAAAACCGCTTTATATACTTTGTTTATAAAATTAACCCTTGCTACATATTTTTCTTTTTTTTTTTTCAGTTTTTCTCCCAGCTGGAATATGTTTTGTCGTTCACCTCAATCTAATCAAGAATAAGTAACAAAAACTTACAATAAAAAAAGTATGACTGTTGCAAAATCTCCCTTAACCCTTTAACTCTCATGAGTGACCAAGACAGATTTTCTCCTTACAATATCAATACAGTATCAACCAGATAAGAGATGAGAATAAAGAAAAATATCAATTTGGGGATAATTAGTTGATCAAATACTAAATTCTCTGAACTAGCATTGTAAGAATTGCATGGTTGACAGTAAGGAGAATTACAAATTTGATCTAAGAGTTAAAGGGTTAAAAACTACTCCCATAACCATTAAATTCAACATAACATTTTTTATGGACATATCAAATTTTTTCCATGTAAACTTACAGCTGCAACAGCCCCTAATTTCAAATATCATTGCCATATGCATGTTATTTTTAGATAAAATATAAAAAATCAAATAATAAACCCTTGACAAATTTTGTATCCAAGTTTTCATTGTGATGAAAATTTTTTACTCAGCCCCAAATCAATGTTTCCATCCTACAAATCCTGAAAGACTGTGTCCACAAAACTTCTTCCATCTGCTAATGTGTTACAATCTAGATTGACCTTTTTGAATATTAAAGTTACCTTTGCACTATTCAACATGCTGCAAAAGATGATTTTAACCTTTAAGTTCTCTCAATGAAACCCTTGCCTGTAACCATTCAATGGAAAACTACCAAGCAATTATAAAATTTGATTTAGAGACCTTTTGGAAGGAACAACTTTCACATTAATGAGTTGCTAAGTTTTGACCAAGTACTGCACTGCTAGCAAATCAAGCAAACCCTTCCATTTGCATTATTTCTGGTATATTAACCATGCTGCCCCATTTGCTACTCAGGCAAATAAAAATTCATAACAACTCTCAACTGACTCGTGGCACTGACGAGAAATCGTTTTAATCTCACCAGTCCAGAGTTGTTCCGCAACATACAGTCTATGGCGAATGTACAGCTGAAGTGTACACGGTTATATCTCTGATAGAGTTCATCAAAGCAGAAAACCAAAATGCCAGTAATTTGACCAGTAAATTGATTGTAATATTCTCTCACTGTACAAGTACTAGCTGACAGCTGTAGGGGAACCTTCTGGAACAGGACTGGGTGTGGCTGACGTGACACGAGGTGATGGCACAAAAGCCGAGTTGGCCAGTTCCAGCAGTGCATCTGCACCAGCAATATCATTCAGTTTTTCCATAGTGCTGTCTCTGCGGCCCCGTTTATTCCGTGATGCAGGCCTATCCTTGCTAGCCGCCCTCTTGCCTTCTATCTCATCTTCCAGTCCTTGGCCGTAACCACTGTCACTCAGCCTGTCATTCAATTCATCCTTGACAACCTTCTCCATGGTCTCCTCAATTTCGCTGTCATCATCATCATCCGAATCATCATGGTGATCAAATTCAAACTCACCATCCAGGGATGAATCCGGTGAAATGTCGTTCCTCAGCTTCACAGAATCAATCTTACTGAGAGATGCAGACAGACCAGCTTTGACACTATTTCTTTAAAAGAAAAAAATACATCAACTTCTTAAAAGTTTTGTTAAAAGAATGATACCTTTTCATAAGTAAACAAAAGTATGCAGCTGAACAGTCAGAAGAGTGCACAAGATACTGAGCTGTATGTGACTTATGATGAAACTACAAATTCTCCCTGTGTTTCACAACGAAATACACAATATCAGTGGCTTATACATGGAATACTGTTCACTTGCAGAAATTCTGTACATATGGATTTTTAAAAACCTGACATCCTCACCTTCTGTGGGTATCTATGAGCAAGGATGAGGTCCTATCCTTTGCCATAGAAACCGACCCAGAAAATGAACCTCTGTGTCTGAAGAGGAATTCTTTGGCTTGTTTAACAAGCAACTCCTCTCTGTCCGTCTCTGAAGGGGGACATGATTGGCATCGTACCACTGGGAAATAAGGAAACACACTTTGTAAATACCTTAGCCCTTTTACACCTGAGAGTCACTAGCATCTATTTTCTCCCAACAGTATAACCTCTGCATCACACAGTACCGTCATGAGAACAAAGGGAATGACACCAACTTAATATTCTCTTGATTGATAAACAAATTCTCCTTGTCAGCACCTTAGGAAATGTCAAGAGAACAGTATGGAGAATATGCATGTTGATGTTAGGGTATAAAGGGTTAACACATAGTCATCAGGTGTGGCATTTTTTGTTTTTTCCTTGTTCCTTTCCTAACTAACTAATGACTACATGGTTAACAAAAAAAGAAAAAAAAATTGGCAAAATGGAATCAAAGTGACATTATAGTGAATTTATGGATATCCTGTGCCACACATGATTATAAAAGAGAGTAACTGATTGATAACTCATAACTCAAATGATCCTGTGATTCCAAGAAACAGAATTGAGCCATCATCCCCACAAAAGTCTTTTTCCTTCCCCTAAACATAATAATGGATTTGTCATCTTAATCAAGATGCCTGCCCTCCTCCAGACTCCTAAGGATGCCAAATAATTTGCAAATGGAATCCTCACATTACATGTTGTTATGCTTATCATATCCACGAGTCAAACTGACAATGGTTTCAGGAGGCAACTCAGGGCATACTTTTCAGTATTTTGGAAGGAGCATTAAACCTCACCCTAATCTTTTTCTGAACACCCAACACACTGTGGAAGAAGAAATGCAGTTTAACCCCAGGGCCAGTTTTTACAAAACATGGTTAATCTAACCTGGGATTAGTGTACATTTTTAAGTTTGTTTTTGACTCTGCAAAGGGATTTTTCTTTTGTCTTTTTTTTCCTGTTAGTTTTGAGTCTTAATGAGACAAGGCCTAACAAAGCCTTAGCTCTTAAACCTGCTTTTCTACATAAGGAATGAAAGCTTAAGATAAATTTTAATCCTAGATTAATGTTGATCCCTTTTCAAACAACCTGTCCCAGGACTCTAGATCAAGTTGTTTGTGTTTTATAGCCCTGAGAAGACCTTTGTGTTACAAATGGGTACCAGTGAACTGCCGAGAAACCCTGACCAAATGTTGTTTGATTCCCTGTAACAAACGAGTATCTCATCCCAGTCATTTTATGCTGAAAAGCTGCAGATAGGCTCCTGCAGACACAGGTTACTTAGCCTCTGGGACTTCACCCATACACTATCATTTCACTATTTCATAATTTTCAACCCCTTACACCCTAACATCAATATCTACATTCTCTATACTGTTCTCTCTGCATTTCCTATGGCACTGATAAGGAGAAGATGTACTTACTCTCTGCGACACGTATTTCAGGAGGTGTGCTTATCATGCAAATTGTTGCCACTGCTTCTGCTTCAGCATCTGGGTCAACTTCAATTTTACCTGCAAGCGTAAAATCATTGTTTCTAAGGCTTTGATTACAGTAAATGTTAGGGTGACTCTTACAACTTCTTTGGAGATATGTAGTAACATCACCTCTCCTTTTGTTTTTTGGCATTGGACAGATAACCATTCCAGTTGGCCTTTTTCTGTTTATTTTTTAGATTTTAAACTAAAAAGAAATGTAGAAGTTGCTTACTTACCACTATTTTTTCCAAGTGAACTGTTGTAAAGGAAAAAATCAAACAAACAAAAAAAAAGATTCAGAACAAACAATTCTTTGAATAGCAATTTACATCAAGACAAACAAAGCTACATTCAAGTCTTAACTACAGGAACTTGAGGAAAAGTTTTAATTACATGCAAGAGAGACAAAGGACCTGATATCACAACACCTATCATTGACATCTTATAATATCACACATTCGTGGTTGTTTAAAATTAATGGGAGCACGAACTGGGAAGTGGATAAAGAGTGCTGCACCCACAACATACAACTGGTTTGAATGCTGGAACCCACATCAAATTTGGGTTGAGTTTTTTCATGCTGGTTCAAATTCCTACTCAAGGGTTTTTTGATTTGTTCCCTTCAGTAGTAACCATCCTCACATACAAGTCAATTATCATATGACCTGAGCAGCCCAGCTGAGAAAATAAGAAAAAAACTCTCTGTACAAGGGCCAAATGGGATGGTGAGAACTGGGCCTGAAAAAGCACCATGCCCAAACCTAGTTGCAAGCTGAAAATAGAAAGGAAGAAAAACGAGAGAGAGCTGTGATCACATGATGAATACTTATAGTTAGGTTGGGCAGGACTGGAAAATACTGGACTCTAGATATGACCTAAAACTAAGTATTACCCATCCAGCACTCCCACTCAGTCAGTATGTAAACAGCTTGCCTTAAATGCCTAACAAATCAACCAACAATTTTACCTTCCTGACCCATTCTGTGGTGAAGGGGGAGGCGTAGTGAGAAGATGATGATACGGGTGAAAAGCAGGTGTTTTCCTCAAAGCTTGAAGAAGGTTTGGCCGATACTCAGGATCAACAGTCCACAGTGAACCTTTGCCAACATTCTGTGGATAAAACTACTCTAGTCAGTCAGAACAGCCTGAAGCTTAGATAGATATATAGGTAAGATAGATAAATAGTTTATTAAAACTGCACTGAAGCCAAAGGCTGAATTACGCAATTATTTTAAAAAAACTATACAATACTTGAAAATTACAAATGAATCCTAGAAAATAAATCGAAAACTGATTTTTACGATAATATCAAAAAATTCTAACATATTCATATTGAAATATGTTAAAATATAAAGCATGAATTTAAGTGGGATGAAACTACAGCCCAGACTGTTTCGACAGTCTGAGATGACTTCATGACATGACTTCACAGTGGGGGGGTCATTACTGATATTCTTTAACCCTTCCACTCCCAAGATTTCATTAGTAATTCTCCTCACTGTCTACCTTAAAATTCTTATAATGTTAGTGTGGAGAATTTTGGCATTGGATCAATTGATAATCCCTCAAGGGGTTAGAGCAACTTGTGAGAATTTGATAACTGTTACATCAGATAGAAAATTTGGATCTAATTAATTCTTTAACTCCCAGATCAAATTTGTTATTCTCCTCACTGTCAACCATACAATCCTTATAATGTTAGTCCAGAGAATTTAGTATTGGATCAACTAATTATCCCCAAATTGATATTTTTCTCTATTCTCGTCACTTATCGGGTTGATATTTTATCAGTATTGTAAGGAGAAATTCTGTCTTGGTCACTTATGGGAGTTAAAGGGTTAAAAATGGTATCACATTGTAAGGAGAAGAATGCCACACCCAATGGTGACCTGATCTTGTTCAGGATTAAATGAAATTTTGTAATGATTCAAATCAAATATTAGTAAGATTCCATCTTCTATGACTCCCCCCTCCCCTGCTAAAAATCTGCCCTTAATTGGTTCTGCCCACACCGGTTGTCAACTAGAAATGTCGCAGATTGAAATAATTGAAATATCTGACTCACTTGTCCTTTGTCCTTATCAACCTTCTTAAAACACTTGTTTAGTGAAAGGTTGTGCCGCACTGAGTTTTTCCAACCAAGTCTGGCGTCCCGAAAGTATGGAAAATGATCCATAATCCAGTTATAAATATCCTTTACAGGCAACTTTTTTGAAGGTGCTTCCTCGATGGCCATGAAAATAAGTGAAGAAAATGAATATGGAGGCTTTGACGGACTCTTCCGTTTATTGGCCAAAGTGTCTGGAGAGAGAGGTCCTTTTGCCTGACCCCCTCTGGGAGGGGTTTCAAGAATGTCACCATTACTGTCCCTGGGAGGGGACATAGGCGGCACGGTCGCTGAGACTTCAAAGCCTTTCAAAATGTCATTGTTTTGCAGCCAGTTAAGGCTTGTTAAGTCATCATCAGGGTCTCCCTTTTCTGTTCTGATTGCACTAAAACAACTGCTACTCAAGTTGATTCTGGTACTTTCATCGAATGATGTTCTGAAGCTTGATCCTCCCGCAGATTTACTCAGATATGGACGCGATTGACTCTCGTGCTTATCCAGCTCTGATTTACGTATTGGTGGCATTTTAAATCTGTAAACAGCAACCATCCCAAGGAAAAAGATAGAATAATTAGAAGCAAGTTAAACCAAAATTATTGTTAACTTTTTCTATGAGCCAGGCATTATGAGAATTAACCCTTCAAACCCTACGAGTAACCACCATCGAATTTCTTCTCACAGTATTACTACTGAATTGTTCTGTATTTTTTTTGCAGTTTTTCCTTCCACCAGTGAGATATTTTCTAACCAGTAGCACAAGTGACCTTGTACCTGATGAATTTCCAAAAAGTCCATGAAATTTTAGGTACTAGAAGCAGTAAATTATAAGTTACCGTCTAAAAAAATAGAACACTGTTCACTGTTAGGTACTGTCTGATTCTCTTCCTAAATTAAACTGTAGGCACAATTTATTAATAACTAATTTGCACTCTCTACCTCTTATTAGAAAATTGTTATAATTTCAATGTTTCTTGACATTGCTGTATCAATATTACTGCATAGGATTGGCCTAGAATATGCTTCACTTCTGAAAATTCACAATAAGGCAGCCAACTGATTCTTAAAACAAACCTGTTAAAGACAAATTAAGCAAAACATCATTGTGAACAAATAACAAGACCTCTTCTGTTTGTGAGAAAGTGTTTTGTAGATAAAGCAGAATCTACTACGTTTTTCAATTATCTTTGCAAATTCAAACAACTAACCACTAAACAAGATGAGGGTAGTTTGCGTCAAAAAACAGCAGCAGCTCTCATTTTATGATAGAAATTATCTGATATTTATTCATCTACTTGTTCAAAACATGTAAATTTATCCAGTTAGAGTAATTTGAGACAAAGGGAGTTGGAGAAACAGACAGGATTTAGTAAGTGCAATGCAAACAAACCTTACTGTCACTTGGCAACCACAAAATAACTTCCTACTCTATGAATAGAGGGCAAAAAAAGTTATCAGCCACAGCTGATGCAAAACTGTTCTGTTTTAAAAACAAACAATATTTTATTTCCCTGATTGATCTTGAGGGCATGTTGAAGGGAATTTAGCCCCAAAGTTCTCTCTGATAGCAAAACTAAAAGCAATTACTATGATGCAAATAAAGACGAGGTTTGAATTGCAAATTTGAGGAAAGAAACATCTGGCAAATTCTGAAAATGAACAGGCAAGAATTTGCATTTTAATTGTCAAAAAGCTAATCAAAAACTGTTCATGATACCTACAACTAGATCATAAAATATTGTTCCCTGAAAATAGGCCAGAGAAATAAAAGGAAGAATTAATTGAAAAAAAAAACATTTGAAGAACCTTGTCTAGCAACATTTTTCTCACAAAAAAATTATAAAACAGAAAAAAAAACAACAACAATTGTGTATCTAGATATTAAATTTATGTTCTGATGAATGTGAAAAATAACTCAGTAGGAGACCACACTTTGAGGAGTTATTAAAACCTTATTTTGACCAATCCTAGCTGGTAAAAAAAATAGAAAGGTTGAACCAGAAGGTCAAAAAATAGCTTTTTCAGAAAACTGTGTGTGTGGTCTTGTTGTATTAATTGCACAGTGTAATGAATAAATCTCCAGGAAAAGATGGAGATTCTGCCAACCTATGATGGATTATAGGTGGTCTGTGTGTCATGTTCCTTGTACACAAACTGGTTTTAAAATTCATCTTCTGGGATTGAAAGGGATCAACAACAGAGTACTGTTATCATCAAAATGAAACTGTTCTTTTTTCTCAGTTTTATCTCATAGGTGACACATTGTAGGTCTTTTGCTCATTGCATGATATATCATAGCCTACTGTTGCATACATTTGAATAATTCAGTTAAGTGCTGTAATCTAAAAAACAGCCTCCCTTGACAATCATAGTGTCCAGGAAATGTGTTTGCTTGTATATAATTGTATAAGTCTGAATTAAAGCTAAGTTAAGAAGTTTAATAAAGGAAATATACTAAAAATTGGCCATGACTGATAACAACTTGACTTCTTGTGTAAAAAGAACAGACAACTGACAGACATCTGCAAACACAATTTAGCTCGTAAGACAGTATTGAAATTGATATGGGCTTCAAAAGCCAATTCTTAGCTGATTTGGTCTTGCTAATAAGATAAGATAGAATTTCACATCCAAAATATCATGCAATTTCCAAACAGATGCAGCTTAACAAATTAAATTAAATAAACATCAAAAAATGCAACACATTTAGTAATACAAAATCCAATGTTATGAGGAAAATGCATTTGCATGTCTGCAATATTAGTCCTTTTTGCGCTAATTAATTTTCAAATGGCATAGCATGTTCTAGAACTGCTGTTAGTGAAGGTCAAATAATTCAGCATGGCTGGATTCCAAAGAAAATTTGATATTTAGCTAAACAAACATTTCTCAACAATTTGTCAAGTCTTCCAATTCACCTCTAGTGCCATAAGCAGATGACTCTGCTGCTTAAAATGTTTGTTTGCTTACCGATGCCTCTTTGGATCTACTCTGAAAACATCTCTCTCTCTCTCTTTTTCTCTCTCTCTCTATATAATAAGCTTCTTTATCTGGGCGTTGACTGTGCATTCAAGCATTTTGTTTATCATTAAACAATGTTTTCATTATCATACCATCTATTTCATAAAAGAATATTTCACAAAAATTTCCATGTTCTTGTTTTGAACTCACTGGAATTCTTCTAGAAGAATCTTGACAAATTTTTCTTTTAATTTGACTAAACAGAGATATGACTGATGCATACCAGATTTAGACAACACAGACCACTCCAGTTAATCTCTAAATCCTTTTGGCAACTTCTGTTGAGAATTTAATCCAAGCAAATTAATTTGTGGAAGCAGCCACAGTAGATCAAATGGTTAGATCTTTTGGTTTGTTTCAACAAATAATTTCTTCTTGTGTCTCACTCAATGGAAGCCAAAAGTTCCAAAAAAATAAACATTTTTTCATAGCATCTCTGATGTTTTTATAATCCCCAACTCCATAAATGGTTCAAACCAAGAAGCAACATTTGATCCATGTGATCATAGAATATTATGATCTTCCAGGTGAGAATAGCCCTGAGAAGAACTATTGTCATTAGCAGTGTCTGACATTTTGATAACATTAGTAGAAGTCATCACCAGAGTCATGTGAAGAGTTATTGTCAGCCAAGTGTTTTGAGTCTCTCACTCCATATGCTCAGAAAACAAACCTTTGTTACTGTGTAAATGCTTGTTTAAAAAAAAAGCACTTTCGCGTTACAAAGTGTGACTTAAATGAGGATTTCTATGTGAAATTATTTTACAAGAATCCATATGCATCACTGTGCAATGTTAGGAGTGAAATTCTGTAAAGGACTGTCATGCAGCCCTTAGATACAGTTCAGCGTAGCTCTGAGTGTCACAAGTGCTTGTCACATGATGAAAGCCTTCTATCAGAAGATATCAAATACCTTGAAATAGAAACAGGCAATCATTTTAGAACCATCAGAAGGTTCTGTCAGGGCAAAACCTGCATCTAATCACAACATAGATTCCCTGTCAGAAGTAATTTTTCCTTGCTCAATTTTTTGATATTTGTTTTGCTGCGATACATAAATTCAAATATCACTCCCACTTTTTTTGCCCGCCTTGGCAAGGTTATTTTTAAAGTAAATTCACATGACCATTACCATGTTTGGTAATTAAGACGTGAACTCATGATGATTGACAGTTTTGTAGAGTCTTCTTTGAAAACACTATGACTACAGTACTAATTCTAACGCTTTCAATGACAGATTTCAAAAAAATTTATACAATGGATTTTTCATTAACAAGAATATGTAATTTAGCTTTACAAATAAAAGACTTCTCATTAAATAAAGAAGAGCACGAGTATTCCTGAGGCTTATGTTTATGTTGTTCCATTTTAAAACATTAGTGGCAACTTTATTGCACAAACTGACCTTTGATTGCCCAAGGTCTAACCAATTTTTCAACAATTTTGTGGGGTTCCGACATAACACTTCTTATCGCAAATTCAGATTCTTTATACTGGAGCGACTCAAATTGTCACATCCATTTTTAAATCAAGTTATTTGCCCTCCTAAGTGAGCAGCAACATGGCTACACTCACCCAATACATACAATGCATGACTGTCCTTGTTTTTATTCAGTATCTGCTTTAGATGTTATTAGTATAAATAATCACATAATTTTGAATGCAATTTGGAATAAATAAGCACAAGTACATTTTTTCAAAGACTGACAAAATTGCATGAGCCCGTAAGGCGTGTGCAATTTGTGGTCTTTGAAAAAATTTACAAGTGCTTGTTTACTCCAAATTGTATGAGAAAAATAGATAGATAGCTAAATTATCATAATTATGCAGAAGCAAAGCGCGCGCATTTAGTGTGATAATTTATTCAAACCTGCAAGTGACATTGTACATTTGGTCAAAACAACTGTGTACAGTCAAAACAATAATATACAATAATATTTTCACACATTAAAGGAGCAAAAAGGTTCAAAGTCTGGCTAAACAGTTCACGGAATTGTTCAGTCTGGTTTATTTCTTTGCACTGAACTAACCACCTTCTGCATTGAATTGCCTGAAAACTGCATTTATCTTAACCAATCAGAACTAAGTAATTTTTTCATGTACCTTATGAATTGATCAACAGAAACAGAATATTGCATATCAGTCTGCAGAGGTTCTGGCTGAGGTGTCAAAGGGAGGGGGGGAGGGTTTGGGATAAAAGTTAGTGGGATAAAGTTGTGTTCAGTGCAGAAAGGGAAGGAGTCAGAGAGGATTCATTGTAAGGGGGGAGTTTGAGAGAGAGTTTGATGCTTCAGGTGTTGTAAGCAGAAAGGAGATCTAGAAAAAAAAAAACAGAACCCCTTTCTTGAAGAATGTTTGTGCGAACCAGAACAGACTGAGTCTACATGAAAATTAAGACATGTCAGGAATAGGTTGAGGAATATGGAGACTATCTAGTGAGGTAGTTAAACCCTAACTTAACGTCAGTGTGCATATTCTCCATACTGTTCTCTATACATTTCCTGGGGTACTGACAAGGAGAATTCGTTTCACAATCGGAGCTCATTAGTGTGCCAATCATTTCCTTTATTCTAATGATCTTAAAAATGATTCAGCTGCATTACTGTAAGGAGAAATCAGATGCTAGTCGCTCTTAGGATTTAAAGGGGCAAGCAATGCGTCACTCCACTGACAATGCCAAATTATCATTGGAAACTTGCAAAGGATTAGAAGTCTTTGCAAAGAGAGAATTCTGACCCTTAGTTGGCTCATGCTTCTGAGACTAGAATAAGCTCTGTCCTTAAAACTTTTAGTGCAAGCAGACTGAAATTGATTTTATCCCATGAAATCATTCCCATGAGTCTTGAGTAGGTAACACAAGGTGTTTACCTAAGTTTATTCTGACGTTCAGCCATTTCCAACTGATTTATTAAGTAAAACTTGATTTACCATGATTTCTGTCAATTCTGTTCTCACGCAAAGCATGTGATAATTTCCATAGTAAAAAACAAGTCTGGAAAATTTAATCTGGAGAAACCCACAGTGTATTCCACATCAGCAGGAGATAAAATGATGACAGTGGAGATATCCTTGATTTTTTCATCTGATTCATGGCCCATGTGATTCACTGATAAAAGCTATCGTCATCTGAGAGGTAGATCGAAATCTATGCTTAAAAGAGTCCTACTTTTTCCCATCACACAACTAGTGTGCAAGGATTAAAAAATACTGTTACCTCGCACCTATCCCCCTTCTGTTTATGGACAGTGGTTTATCACTATGGCAACAATGTGGTGAAAACTACACTACAATGTCACCTGAGGTTTTCATGTGATAAAGTGGTACAAATTAGCATGAAACACAGGCTGTTGACTATTAATTGAAAGCATTTTCTACTTTAGCTGGAGTTCAGCATGTTGGAAATGAAAAATAATTGAAAAAAATCAGAACCACTATTCGCATTATTTTTGTTTCAAATAGTGTTCATGTAAAGTGTGCTCTAAGAATGAAAATGATCTCAGAGATTTTTACTTCATACAGAAAGTCACTCTGTCATATTCAAACATTTCAGCAGGCAAAGTAATTACTAAGCTATTTTTCATTTGTGAATGTAAACAAATGAAAACGAAGCAATGTGGTCAAAACATAATTTAATCTCAAAACTACCATTTATCAACAAAAAATAATTAGAACCAGGTACACTTCAGGCTAATTTTGCAGCTCTGATTGGATTGGCCAGGTCATTTCACAATGATAAATTGGCTTGATTTATTTCATGTTTCAAGGCAGTATGTTTCATTTATGTGCCACAGCAGATTCTTTACTTCAAAAACCTGTGTTTGCTCTGTCAACAACTTCGAAAGCCAAGTTTGCACAATGTTTCAACAGATTTTATTTTTAAGGTCGCACGAAAATACTGAACTTTATTTGTAAATGCAAAACGCGTTTCGGCATTATGGTGTCCATTAATTTTTATCTCTGACCATATGGAAAGAAAGTAACATGCTGACGCAAAAAAAATTACCATAATTTAAGTGATTAAAAAATAAAATAAAATTCCAACACGCATAAAATTTAGCAAAAAGTTGTCTCTTGTGGTAAAGATGTTTTTTTCCAAAAACAAACTTTGTGCGTCCTCCGTTACCAAGACACTTAATCTCTGTTTTTTTAAGTTGCAGGAAAATTATTATGAATTGAAAAAATAGATGGCTGGCAAGGGGGGCAAAAAGGATTTCCTCACGGCTGGGTTTAATAGCCGAGTGCAAACCTCCTTGTGCACGAACGTACTGCTCACTGAAAAACGGCAACGTTCATCGTTTGACAATTACACAAAACTGTTGTGCCACTGCATGCTTTTGAGGGAAATTAATTGGTCGATATTGTTCTAGTGCTTTTTAAAATCTATTCAAAACAATGGCCAGATCCACAAGCTACATGTATCGAGAAATTAAAAAACACACCATGCGAGATTGAATTACAAAAACATCATTCACTGTGGTGTTTAGGCAGCTTTTCCGCCACAGATGTGGAACAGAATGCCATCATGGATTTCTTTCAAGGAATTTTTCACAACATTTCAGACAGTAACACTTTGGAAGCTAGTCAACTTCCTTCACACAGGAAAAACATGGTTCATAATTTATTTATCCGTACTTTCATTTTCTAAGGAGAAGGTAACGCTCAGGGCAAAACTCCAGAAATTACATATTACATCGACAACAGTCGCCTAGTATGAAATCGTTCCGCAACAGAAGAGACCATATAAACCTCAAATCAAAGTCTCGTAAGTCGATGAAACATCGAGAAAGAGTACCTGTAACTACCCATCAACAAAACAGCGCAGTGCCATGCGGCCGATTTAATAATATATTGAAATTTTACGATGCGAAACACAAAGGCCTAACAAAGAAACGATGCTTGAAAAGCACTTGCGTAAGCCTTCTGAAACCACTGCAGATAACTAGACTTACTCGCCAACATCAATAGCAGAATTGTGGTCTAACTTGCGAATAAATCCGGTCGAGTGACTCCTTTTATGATTTCATATATTACAATCACCTCTAATAGAATGCACACAATTTACTATTTCCGAGAAGAATAAAACTTAAGTCCCAAAGGACATCGTGGCTAATTCTGGAAAAGACACCACGAGAGGAGCAGCCTAAAATCAGAATCTCTGCTGTTTAAAGGCTCCAAACATGTGAGGGTATTTCAGCAACGAAACCGAAAGAGTAATTATTCGAGTCAGAGAAATATTTCATATTGTAATTTGCTTTCAACGATCGAGCAATGTGCTCGGAAAAAACACGTGTCGTAAAGGATATTTATTACAAATAAAATTCGCATGTTGACATGACTTTGTAGTTAATCGGAATATATCAGAGTCTGGTGTTTGACTTTCGCAAAGTCCTGATTCACTGCACTGATAACTTTTCACTGCTTCATACTATGACATCGAAACATGAAGGGCCTAGACAAAAACTTCTTCATTCAAGGCTATCGTACCGGTACTTTCGCGAAAGTCTCTCACTGAATTGATCGACAACATGAAAGATGCTTCTGGTGAAAAAGGTAACGAGCAGGCAAATGATGTGAATCGGAATTCATAAGGCCGGGGTTTGTGAGAAAGAACTACCCAGGCGCTCTACGCAACGTGGCTTTTGAGATAGTGCGAAACTAAAAAGATCATATGACAATAATATGGAAATACTCACCTTAAATTTGCTAGTTAAGCTCTTCAGTTCATCGTCATAGATTTCTTCTAATTCTTGACCACAATGGTGCTGCAGAAAGACGCTGAAACAAATCAGGGAAAGTACAATTTGTTAACAAATGGCTCAACACATGAGCAATAACCAACAATTCGTTCGTTCGAAGAATGACGACATCGCGAACGCGAGAGAAAATTTCGAACGCCTACCTTGAAAATCCTAAACAACAATGTGATTAAAACCCAACCTTTGACGCAGACACAAGGCAGCTTTGGTAGAAGTACCCTTGGGCAGGAGTCGATCTCAGTAAGACTCTCACATTGGTAGTAAAAGGAAATGAAATGATGAAGAGCCACAGAAGGGACCTCGAACAGGAGGGCTGGTAACCCAGGTAACGTCAAGCCATAAGACTAGTTTCTATAGTAACAAGCGTCTCAATCTCCTTACCGCCAAATGCAAAGTTTCAGTTTAGCCGATATACTCCTCTTGAAAACCACTAATTTATACCGGCCAATGTTTTGTCGAGAGCTAATATTCTATTTTCATTCCCTATAATGAAAATACGTATAATAAATGCCCTGAGTGCTCTTCCTGTGCTTGTAAAGCAAAAGCAGACGGTTATGTTTTTTGAGCCGTCCTTGATTTCTTGAAAGATTTTTGAAATGATAATAGCTTGCGCGCCGTTTGAGCCGAAAAACAAAACAAATCATTCAAAGTTGAAAGTACCACCTCTGGCTTTTGACAGCTAAAGACAATAACACGCACCGCAAAGGCTGTTTTACAATATCGTTTAAGATTTTAGTTCTTATGCATAAGGCGTTACGAGTAATTTTATTGCGCTCATCAGCGACAGTAGACTGTGGGAGCTAAACTCGAGCCACGCCGCTGAAATTTCTCAGAAGTTTGTGCCTCTGGTGTGATTTTATAAATACTGAGCGCCAATGAGCCAATATAGGTTGAGTATTGTCAATTATTCTGCACGCACCCGAAGAAGTTTTGCATTTTTCATGAGATCTACCCAAATTATGCTAACGAGCTATACATCCATTGAACATCAGTCAACTTCTTTACGCGGTTAAATATTTTTTCCACAAGACAGAGACGCCATTTTCTTCCCTTGTAAAACAAAACGGAGATACAAAATATTATTTGAATTATTTTACACTCGTAAAGTGATTTTGGTTGGATCAGGGTATAACTTAAAGTTGTTTTGAAAACCTAGAAGTAGATAGCTATCGTCATCGAAGTTTCCATGGCGGCGGTAAATTGGAAACAAAATTTAACTTCTGTTTCCAGGCAATGCTTTTTCGCCGTTAGAATCAATGTTTGTTCTCAGTTTTCGCTTTTTGAAGCTGTTTGCCGAAGGACTCAACTTTGTATTCCAGTCTTGACAAACTGGATTAATAATTTAAGAGACGTGAAGTTGGGGATTTGTTGAAAGCTGTCAACTACTAATCTTTTCAGCAGAAAATGTGATTTTAATTTTTAAGAGCGTGCTAAAATAAAACAAAATTTGATCCTTGCTCCAATTTCCACAAGATTTTAACACACCATAATAGGCACTGTTTTGAACGGAAGAGAAAGAAGATATTTTATTTCCAGTACGTATATCGCGATAGGAATAGAGCGAAAATTTATTCCGTAAATAAAACAGTATTTGACCGACATGGTTAGTTTAGCACAACTAGGGACGGTAAACTCAAAAAACGAATGAAACGCGGCTTAATAGCTTTTGTATAAAAATTTATGATATTCAGACTAAGGGGGAAGCCGCAGAGATAAAATCATTTGTATAAAAGATTTAAAACTAACATATATTTTCCGTTTAAGTTTGCGTGATTTATTTCAATGGCTTTTTATATCTCGTGAGGTTTTTTTTCTTGAAAGGGTTTTCTTTTCGTGTTCCATTAGGAATTCACGTCAGCACTCGACCCGCCACTACAAGAGCTAACTGAATCCTTTTCAATCAACCAAATAACACAGTTGGAAATAGCCCTAAGGGTATCTGAAGGAAACCAGAAATTATGCTTTCTATAAATTAAAAACTTCTCACACATTTAGGAGAATTAATATTCTTTTGCGCGCGATTGGAGAGACGAAAAATACATTAGGAATATTCGCTTCAGAAGATGGCCACGCTATATTTAAGTGCTGCGATATTATTACCGTTTGGTAGTGACGCCATCAAACGACGCCACAGAAAGTGCTAGAATTACGAAATGAAATTGCTACAAAGCTTAATAATACCGTAATTTTACTGATGAAGCCACGTATTTGAGATGTCCCTAGAATTGTGAATCAAACTGACATATAGAAGAGTTTTGCGACAAATCTGCGAGTCTTCACTTGGGTTCGCTCGTTTCATTTCACTTATTCCTGATTCAAGCAAAAACCGTTTCAGAGTTTCAGAAAAATTTCATGCTAATTGATGCACTGTGCTTAAGCTTAATCAAATCATGGATTTTGCTATCATTAGTATGTAATCTAGTGCAGGCGACGCGCGGAGTTGCTAAGGGGTAAACAATTCAATCATGTGTAATTGAATCGCACCTAAAAAATGTAGACGCAAAATATTAAACAAAATGCATACTTTTCCTTCACAATGGACGTATTACATGAGCTTTTAAACCGTGGTCTGAGCTTTCCGTCTTGCCGGAAGCATTGATGATAACTGAAACTATAGAACAAAAATGCAACCACGTTATTTGAAGAAGTAAACAATGCAGCAACACCTGCTTAAAGGAGAACGGGTGACACCAAATTGTCAAAGGTCTTTCATTCATTAAAAGCACATTCGGGTCTTCTGTTTTCTTCTCAGCTGGAAATGCAAGCAACATAACATGGAATAAATTCTTCAATTGTGTGTTGACGGGAAGTTTGGTTTTAATCTGATCTCACAGCTGCCGAAAATCATGCGTTACCAAAAAAATATTGCGAATGGTTTATGTTTGTCGCATAGCAATTCGTTTCTCTCACATATTTTTGCTTGGACTAACAGAATTTGAAACACTAAATATAAAAATGTGGCTACATGTAGCAGTGAAATTTCAATGGATTCCTTTGGAAATTTACTGGAGCAGAACGAACAACGTACCGTGCAACTATAACGCTCAAATTAAGCGTTTCGTACAAATTTCGTGAGAGTATCTTAAACATGCAAAAGCCTTTTTCGAAAAATTTGGGTAATATTAGAAAAGCATAAATTTTCCAGTGTATCCTTTCAATATTTTGTGTTTCCTTAGCAACGAAAGCAAGCATCTTGCGACAAATTAACAGAGCAAAAACTGAATCAAACGACAACAAAAATTAAAGTGGATATTATTAACTACTGTTTTCCTAATGTACATGTGTTCCATCTTTCATTTGAATTGAATTGCATTCAAAAGATTGAAATAGCTCTGAAAAACTCATGAGTTTACAAATTCGATTCTAACAACCATAAATATTGCCTAATATTAATCTGAGAACTGAAAGTTGTGATGTTGGTATAGCTTTCAACAATGAAGCGGTTTGGTGCGGTTTTACGTCTAAGTTTTCTAATTCCGCCCATTTAGTCCGTATTTTAAGACTCACGGCATATTTCTTTATATCAAGGCCTTATTACATAAAGTTCTGATTAATATCGCCCTTATGGCCTGACCGCAAAGTTTATGTTAATTTACAAAAACATTTCCGTAAAAACCAAATTCGACTCGGGAAACTTCAAACAGGCCCAATTGCCAGTCAATGCTTAGTCGTGACTTACTGCAAGGTTTTGAGCAGTAAATTTATCGCAGTGAGAACGATATTTAACTATTTTTTCTCACAGAGAGGTTATTAATTCATGCAAATGTAAGCCTGTCGTTTCAGTTATTTTTACACTGAGGCCAATATAAGTGGTCGGTTTGAAAGGCTGTCGCGGGATCTAGTTCCTACTCTATTCAAAATCAGGAAAATTCCTTCCGTGTAAATAGGATAATTGGTCTACCCATTACAAGTCGCTTTTAACCTCGGGTTACAAATTTGAAAACACGGTTTTTTTTGTTTTTGTTTTTTTTTATCCCAAGGCAATCTTAGCGAAATACAAAATCATTGTATATATCTTTCATGAATTTACTTGTATCGCAAAGCACAACTTTATTTATATTGTTTCTATATTCATGTTTAGTGAAAACAGATAAAAAATAAAAAAATAAAAAAATAAATTATGGGAAGCTTAGCGTTTGTTTTGTTTTTCGGTTTGCCTTTTCCTCTTGACCAATGAAAAACGAGCCATAGTCTAGGAAGGCGGAGAAATCAAAGCATGCCTCGTGGTGTCAAGTTACACGTGCGTCCATCTTGTCTAGTCCTTTGACTGGCTGATAAATGAATGACAGGTGATGCTTGTGTTACGTGGGGCACTAAGCTTTTTAGTGTACATGTTACTTAAGAGCAGATAAACGATTAACTAGGAAAAATATTTCCGTTGCACTTCGAGGTGATAAACATCACCACTTAAACGGCGTCCTAAATAGAGAGCTTTCAACAGGCGCAGTCTGAATTTCTCAGCTTGCGGAGAAACTGAAAAAAATTCCAAAAAAATAATAACGGACATTTCTATTAGAAAATGATACTTTTGGCACAAACCAAAGTTAAATGACTCAATGCTTGCATAATTTCAGTGGATGTTTCTCTAATTTCAATTTCTCTGGCGTCCAAGCATTTCCTTATCAAATGAAATATCTGCAGAGATTTATGCATTCAGCATCTCAACCAAATACGGAAAGCTTCAATGATCGCGCTCAGGAAATGGTCACTGAAGAGTCGGAGTTCCAAATCTGAAAGTATTATCAGTCACAAGGGTTTTTTCCGGTATTTTGGAAACTTAACACAGGAAGTCGTGATGCAGTGGGTAATAAGCTATTAAAAGCCGTTAGACGTGAAAGCTAAACAACGCAGTAAATAACAGTTTTAATGCAATTTCCCCGCCTGAATCATCAAAAGAATATCTTATTTCAATAGTAGACGGAATACGTGCTTCGAGATGCCAAGAAATGAAGATAACGCTAGGATCTTACCACAAAACATTCTACACTTAGTTCGCCATTTTCACCGCCGTCTAAATTTGCATAATTTCCATTGTGATCTATCATCTAAGTGCATCCAAGTGATTTAAATATATTGAGGTCTTAAATGATTGTCGTTGCAGCATTCTGAAATTGCCCGCTGTTTCCTTCTGGGTAGCTGTTTAAATGGTTTCTTGAAATTTTCATGAGACAATTTTGTTTTTATCTGGGACCATAGAAGGAAATAGAGGTAATGTTAAAAGGTCACGCCCTAAAAAAAATTTCTTGCTTTAAGGAGGGAAAGTATCGTAGATGAAGAGTGGCCAAGACGGGCAGGTTTTTTTGTTTTTGACACAG